CACCCCGAGACGGCGCAAGCCGAGGTCCGAGTCTCGCAAGGGACGCCCCTTGGAAAAACGCCCATTCCGTCCGAGCTAAACTCTCCAAAACAATCCAAGCTGTAGAGGCCCTTCAGGCCAACAGCGAGACTCCACTCAAAAAAAATGGTGCGTGTACTTATGTACGCGCGTAAGAAGTTATACTTCTTTGGCTTTCTTTATTTTTTTTAAATATTAAATAATTAATAATAAATATTTAGCGTTAATAATTGAACAATATTTAATATTTAGTAAATTATTAATTAATATTAATAATAATTATTATTTATTATATTATTATTTCAATTTAATAACTAGGTATGTTTTATAACCTTTTAACTAAGTAACAATAGATCTTTGTGATAAAGCATTGCTAAATTTCTTTGAAATAATAATTAAAACTCCTTTATTTGTTCAAAAGGAGACAAATGTCATTATGGTCATTCAAAATTCTTGGCATAGCTGCTAACGTCACGCATATTCTATTTATTTTTACTTGTAGATTGTCTTATTCCCATCTCGCTCCCGTACGCTCGGCGCCCATACTGATAATTTTGTGTCACGGTGCGCGCGCATCGTAAAATTTCATTCTCATAAATTTTTCATAACGCGCCTAAAGAAGTATAACTTCAAAAATACGATAGCTATTCGACGCATAGCTAAAAAAGGCTTTGCTACATTATTGAACTGTCGCTAACTGTAGCACAGAATAGTATCAATTTACACACATTATACAAATTTACATAAATTAAAAAAGTCTAAGGATACAATATAAGGATAACCTACCTGACTACGTTTCTGTCTGCAGAGTTGAGATATACTTTCAATTTTTGGTCTCTCCTCAGATTTTGCAATCGCGTCAGTAAACACATAAATATTCGAAGAATATTTGCTTCTCTCTAAAGCCATTTCTATTGCTGATAGAGACTTCTCCGGACATTCTTTACCTCCACCAGCTTCAACCAGATCTAAATGGTCAATAAAGTTCGTGGCTGTGGTGAAAACTAATGGTGGTCCAACATCTGAAATATTTTAAGCACCTCTCAAAAAAAAATCAGGTTCGTAATAATAACAAATTACAAAAAACAATAGCTAATAAAATCATGTCACAAGTCAAAAATCATTTATTCATGCAGGTAACACAATGTACACTTATGATCGTGAATAAAAAAGAAATATACATTTAATGCTTCTAATTTTACATTTACTGCCAGTTCTCAAATCAAGGGCGTAGAATGGAAGAGAACTGGCAATATATTACTCTAGTAAATCTCAGAAAATGCAAAAAATCGAATCGAAAAATGCAGTAAATATGTCACAATTCTCTAAAAAAAGTAACTCAGCCTGCACGTGTATTTTTATAATCGATGTTGTTCACTGCTCTGCCCTGCGATTCTGTAACTCACTTTTCGAACTCACACAGCGGTTTTCGCATCGGCGGTCGCTCTCAAATCGGTCGTGAAGCAGTCATATTATGATTTGGCTGTGTGAGTTCGAAAAGTGAGTTACAGAATCGCAGGGCTGCTATCTCAAATACTAAATTCTTGTTACAAGCAGAGCAACAAAGCTGTAAAGGTCGTGTACTAATATTAAAGCCTTACCAGGGTAATTAAAGGGCAGCAACATGTATTCGGTATTTGTTTTCTCATCCAAAGCAAACTGTATATTTGCCTTAATAATATCCACTTCTTCTTTCATCGAGGCAGTAGTATCTAAGACAAGTATAAAGCTCTTTTCACTCGTCGCAGTGTATATTAAACCGAAATAAATTAATAGATATAACGCCATGATAAACACTTGGTAGTGCACTTCGACACGACCCCGACACTGAAATGAATCACTAACTATTTCAATGCATTCATTACGTTTATTAAGGCGAATATTATACCACAAATAAGTGCAGCAACAAAAGTTTAAGGTATTTGCAAACCTATTTTTGTATTTTATTGGATACTTATATCGTCTATTGTTTTACACAACGTTTGTAAGGAGCTGCAACCATTATACCATTTTCCACATGACATCTTAAGTAATAAATAAAAATAAAATAAATTAAAAACAAAGATTTGTCCTCCCTCTATCTCTCCCTAAGAAGCAAGACTAGATTGACAATACACAATTTTTTTTCCTACAATAAAGTTTACAGAGAATTCTTTACCTCAATTACAATCTAGCCTATACAATAATTATGGCCTAAACTAAGGTAATGTTCATTAACAGTCTTAGAATACACTAATGAATACACAAAATATTTTAAATATAATATGAAATACACGTTTTTATTCTCCTTTTTAAAATGCTAAAATATTATTAAAAAACAGTGCCGGAACAACCTCTTAGGGCAAGGACATAGATTTTTGTACGTAATTTTTGGATCTAACGCATGTCGGTTTCCTCACAATGTTTAGTTTTCGAGCGAGTGTTAAATGCGCGTGTAGACAGAAACTCCATTGGTATAGAACTTATGACTTCAGGCTTCAGAGTCGCACGCTAAAGTCACTAGGCCAACACTGCTCAATTATATTAAAACAGTTTCTATATTCTTTGAACGTTTACGATGGAGATCCACAGCGGACGCCCTCTGCCTCATCTAGAATTAAATCAGATTCCACATTCTTTGATATATAACATCTAAATGTGGCATATAACATGCCCCACCTTTGTCTGTAAAATATAGCTTTATACGAGAACTAAGGCGTCAAATAAAATTGTGCATATAAATGCGATTCTTTGTCCAAAACGACAAGACTTTTACTTCATTGCCATGAATTACTTGAATCGACAAGGTGATAAATAATGTAGTAAACTTGTTAATTGTTATTTTTATGTCTGCAAATTAATAAATTTTAAGCAATTATCAGTTTAATGTCTCATTGTAGAAATGGTGTTTTATTAAAGTCATATTTATAATTAATTATAAAACAAATATTGGCCCTTAAATTGCAATAAATTTATTTGTTTGATAAGATACAATGTTGACCTGTCAGGGCGAGTGCCATTTTGCGTTACGATTACGAATACAAGTAATTAACTACAATGTTAAATGACTTGTTAGGACTATGGGTTTACGTGTGTGAATTCCGTTATTCCTCCGTTGGAGTATGGAAATCAAAATTCATTGATCTATTGAAAGAGGTGATCAACCAATAGAAACTTCTTTGAGAAATTCTATCTAACTATGACACCAATTATGAGGATATTGATATTTTCAACCTCACCAAAGATGTGAGGAAATATTTGAGGAGGCGGAATAATTGTAGGCAAAGCGATTTTCTACACAATATGTCTTCACAAATTTTTTGTACGATGGATAGTTTAGGAGATATAGCCAAAATCGTGTTTTCGCGCCTTTTTCCAAGATGGCGGCCGGGGGACAAGGGCGCCAGCCCTACAAACTTGGGTTGAAGCTTGTGTTGACCCCACTACATGTCCCATAAATAAAATTGCGTCCTCTAACAAATGTTCAGTTGGTCTATTTTGGCTTCCTGTATTGTCAAAGTGTTTTGTTTTATAATATGTATATTAGCTGTAAGATTACTAATAATTAAATAAATACATTCAGTATCAAAATGAAGCGTTAAGTAAGAGTCTAAACAAAAACCTATTTGTCATACATACTCAACACTAATTAACGATTTTGACTTTCACTATTGTTTAGTGTTGTCGGAATTGGTCGTAAAGGAAGAAGTGTGTATGTGCACGAGATTCGAGCGTATACCCAGTCCTAAACCCATTTTTTGCCCTGTAAATTTTCTGTCAAAATTATGAGTTTTAGATTGAAAAGAAGTATTTCAGAAGGAAGCATGCTGTTTGAGTGGAGCCCACAAAGTGTGCTCTGCCAGCAGTCAACAATTCCACTAATGATTTCGCCATTTAATCAGTTCTGCATCAGGTTTGGGGAGACTGAAAGATGAATGTATGTTTTTTAAATAGTAAAAATATTTTTTGCTTTTGCTGTAGAGATAAAAATAAATTGCCTCCTGCTCTTTAGTGACCACGCCCATGGACACTGACATGACCAAAAGGCTCATAAGTGCATTGCTGGCATTTTAAGAATCGTTACGCGCTTTTCTTGAAGGACCCTAAATCAAATTGATTTGGAAATACTTCAGTGGGCAGCTGGTTCCACATACCGGTGGTGCGCGGCAAAAATCTAGTATTAACTTGAATTATATTAAAAGTTAAAATACACAACAAATTAAATAAATGAAACCATATTTTCTATTATACATTATTGAAAGGACAAGTAGGCCTTTGTTATTCTTCCACAAATTCCGGTTTTTTCAAACATAACATTGTATTCTTATCAAAAGGAAGCACTTGATAACGTAATGTGTATATTGCGAATATAGTTGCTATGTTGTACATGTACATTTGTCGAGGGCATTTATTTAAAACACACAAATTTTTCCTCGTCCATTCATTGATACTTTTTGTGACAAACTATTTCGACAATAACTTACTTATGTACCTTTGTGTCTTAATTTAATTATTTTATGCCCAAAAGAAATTCCCAAGCTTTGCAAGTAAGACAAGGATTGTTTTATTGAAAATTAACATTTATGAATACAAGGAGAAAACTACTCAATAATAGTTCAATGACCAAACTGAGTTATTTAAGGTAGATTTTGCCGCACATTATGTGTGTTAGAGGCTACCTCAGAAAACTCTTAAAATATCGGCATAGCTCATCCCTCTGGCATTGAGAGTGTCATGGGCGGTGATGTCACATAACATCAGGTGAACCTGCCCGTTTGCCCTCTCTTCTATAAAAAACATAGCTTTTTCGCACATTAAAATAAATTTATAAATTAATAATAACAATTTAGAATTTTTAAATTTTTTAAAAATCCACTTAAAAAAACTCAGAACTTAAATTATTATTTATAATCTGTAATTATTTTGAAGGTTTTGATAACTGGTGTTACACCCAATTTTAATCTCACGTTACGCATTCAGTTTTTATCATCCATACAAGCGATATGTTGCCAATTAAAATATTATATGTTTTTATTTACCTAAATTATGTGGTTGGTCAATCAACAGATTTTCAAAATTTTAATTTAATTTTTGCTATTGATGAAACCCGGTATGAATATGAAATGTTGCGTTATGTATTACCTGTGGAATTTATAAAACTTGATTATACGCTATTAGTATACAACAGTGATTCAGGTGAGTATTTAAATTGAACTTTGCTCCCCTCACACTTTAAAATCGATTTTTGTATCTTTTTTTGTTTAATATTTGTATGATCTCTTCGTGTATGTCATGTTTGCCTATTGTTACATTAGGGTCTGTTTCACAATGTATGGATAAAGTACCAAATAGCTATGCAACACATAAATTATTTGGAAGATAAATTGTGCTATTTGACATTCATCGGACTCATAACTTATGATGGACTTTATGTGACGAATAGCGCTATCTGACAGTCGTGAAACGCAACAATAGTGTTTATCCTACCAATAGGTAATAAATAGCTAATTTAAAACTTATGTAGAACTTATCTGTACATTGTGAAACAGACCCTAAACATTGTATTTTGTGCTTCTTTTACCAATGTATTAGTATGCCTAGCGTTGGCAAGCTTTTATCAATAAAAAAACTTAAATTACAATAGTTTCACCGGTGTTAACATTTGGAATGGAAGAGCATAAAAATATTATTTCAGTTCGAAACTGGGTTCTGACATAAGCGCGTTAAGCAAACTCTTTTAGCTTTAATGAATCATTTAATTAGCTTTAATGAATCAAAAGATTTAATAAAAAGATTTTATTGTACGTTTGCAATGGGATCAAAATTGTTGTTATCTGAAAAATTCTTAGAGGCTCTTGGGCCGTGTGAATGATCTTCAATGAATAGTCTTGAAATCGTAAAAAGTTTATATATAATATATACAAACTATATCTGTAGCAATTTTTCATAATAAGTGTCTTACTCCGATACGATAGCGACTTGCGACATTGAGTTAGGCCGGAAGTGGAATTGCTAGAGGCGTTTCCTAAAATTTAATTTTCTTTACAGTTATAATATCCAAATACACAGAAAGTCATAGACAACCACTTCTTCTATCTTACACGAAGGAAGTGTCTATGCCCACCACACTTGAAGAAGATACGAGAGATTTGCTCTTTGTGATTGATTTCTCACTGAATATTACGAATATGAGTGAATATGAAAATTCTTATTTATTCGTCTTTTCAAATTACCTGAACCCTGTTCACACGTCAACTGGACTTTCAAAAACATTACGTAAAGCTTTAAAAAAACACGTTCAGGTTTGTTTGTTAATTTTATTTTATTTTTGCTCTCAAACATCACACACGTTGAGGGCAATTAGATTCTTATGAAAATAAGTTATAGAAAATATTTAATAATAATAATAATCAGTGGCGCTACAACCTCTTAAGGTCTTGGCCTCAGATTTCTGAATCTGTTTCATGATCATTTTTAAATCTGATAGGCAAATAGGTGATCAGCCTCCAGTGCCTGACACACGCCTTCGTCTTTTTGGGTCTAAGACATGTCGGTTTCCTCACGATGTTTTTCCTTCACCGTTTGAGCAAATGTTAAATGCGCTTTATAGAAAAGATTTACATGTGTAAAAATATCATGAGGAAGGAAGGCGCAGAGTTAACCAGATCTATGCAACTTCCTCACAATCGTGTAGCCCGCAATATCGCAGCACACTAGAATATTTTATTAAAGAAGTCGAATGGGTCCGCTAAGCATCCGCGAATATACACTAAATACATAATTGTATAGGAATAAATAAAATAATAACAATATCAAATAATGAACACAGCAAGGTTTCTATAACGACTTGGCGAATCTGCGGAGACCTCTTCTTGGAGTTGGTGAAATGATGTCCACAAAGTCATTTTTCATCACAGTTTTATTGTATATCCGACGCAATATGTTAACATAACCATTAAATGACGAGCACAAACGTGAGACAGGCTTATAAAAGGGATCACTGGGTGATAATTTAAAATAGAATAAAAAAAAATCAATTCGACTTAGGGTCCTTCAAGAAAAGAGTGTACCAATTCTCGAAAGGCCGGCAACGCACTTGCGAGCCCTCTGGCATTGAGAGTGTCCATGGGCGGCGGTATCACTTAACATCAGCTGAGCCTCCTGCCCGTTTGCCCCCTATTCTATAAAAAAAAACGATGGCTAGATGGCGTATTACTCAAATTAATAACAAAGTTCTATTCTATCTATATTTAATTTGATTTGATACAGTGGTTATAAAATAATCGTTTGTATTTAAGGTGTCATTTTTTACTTTTGAATATCCGATGACTGATGAAGTCAGTGCACACGATGAAATTAGTTCAACTCTAACCAACGCGACAGGTGGTGTATTTCTTCCAATAGACAGACTTGATAATTCGGTGAGTAAAACAAGCTACGACCGTTAATAGTCTTTACTATGTCAAAAGAAATAGGTAGTAGTAAAAATAGTAATATAGTAATATAAAGTAAACATTCGGGTAACCAATACCATTTATGTAAGCTTTGTAACACCTCCGACGACTACATAGTTGGAGAATTATTTGGAAAACGTAACAATACAAAAAAAAATAGCCTTTACTATTGCTAACGAAATATAATACATAATATAAATAAATTAGTGCCGCTACGACCGTTTTAGGTCTGGGCCTCAGATGTCTGTATCTGTTTCATAACCAGTCAATCTAATATTAGGAGTATAGCATCCTATGCGTGACACACGCCGTCGACATTTTGGGTCGGTTTCCTTACGATGTTATCTTCACTATTCGAGCGAATGTTAAATGCGCACATAGAACTCCATTGGTGCACAGCCGGGGATCAAACCACTAGGCCAACACTGCTTTACAATAATAAGTGTTGTTTAGTATATTTCGTATACAGTATATATATGTACCTATATGTAAGAATACTTTGTGTATTATGAAAGTGTGAATCCGTTCAAGAGCTTAACATCATGTGAGCCTTCTGCCTATTTATGCAAATTCTAAATATATGTGTATTTATTACTTCTTCGTCAAATATTAGTAATAAAACAGGTGTCTCAAAAGAATGTTTACATTTATATAGCTTACTGCGTGAAGCCATCAAATCCGACAGGCGCAGGGGTTATGTCAATCAGTAGCCCGCAGTGTAGATAAGATCAGAGGATTTCCCCCTAGATTTAGGGGTTTCTTAACCGAGTTAGAGGGCAGAATAGGGGAAAAAAATATTTGGGGTTTTTTTAAGGGGAAATTTCAGAAACACAGTTTTTTGCTATTGTATATCACGTTCCTAATTTTGGAACTAAAGAACGAACACATCGTAAAAACAGGATGGATATAGGAATAGGATAGGACGTATGCTGTAGCATAAAAAAATAAAAACAAAAAGTTTTGTCTAAAAATTAAAATTTAAGGGTGGGACCACCCTTAACATTTACAGGGATGAAAAATAGATGTTGTCCGATTCTCAGACTTACGGAATATGCATAAAAAATTTCATAAGAATCGGTCGAGCCGTTGCGGAGGAGTATGGGAACGAACACTGTGACACGAGAATTTTATATTAGATGTATTTTTTAAACTCCTAAACTTCCGGTATACTAAAAAAAAATTTGTAAATATTTTAATCTATTACTGTTGAATATTGTGTTGTTTTTTCTATGTCTTCGTGGGCATATTTGGAACTAAAATGATACACGAACAAAAATCAATCACGAGTTTTATTGATACCTGTAACCCATTTAAAATAATGTATATGTACAATTATTTACAGGTACGTCGGTACATAAAGGACGAATTAATACATAAAAGGATTCCTGTGGATACGAAAGTATTTCATGCGGACTATGAGCCAATAAGCGTGTTTGGGGTAATTATTTTTCTCTATAATTAATCGTATCGCTTATAAAGTTACATGGTAAGCCAGCGGTTTCGGCACTTCTACAGTAGAGCATTAAGCTGTCTACACACCGAAGCCGCCGGCCCGCCGGCACGGACCCGGCGGCTTTAGATGAGCCTGACAATTTTCCCGGCGGCACGACAGTCGCGGCATGCAGTGTTCACAATTAGTGATTGCCAAGTGCTTGCTAGTGACTTGTTAATTTTTTTATTTTTCTCTTCACTTCATTAACGGATTCCATAATGTTTAGTCGATAAAAAACACTGACCCGTTACTATTTCTTAAAAGCCGGTGTGCAACCGGTGGTGAAGAGCAGAGTGAGGCGTGCCGCGGGGTAGATCGCGCGGGCGCAAGCCGCCGGCAACATCGTTAATACCAAGGCCGCCGGGCCGGCGCGGCGGCTTCGGTGTGTAGATAGCTATAGTGTCTTTTAGACGAGCGTTTTTTTTCGAGATGACATAAAAAAACGAGTGGAGCATGACATACAGACTCTAGCGGTAACGCAAGTTCGGCTCTGTACATCGAGAGCAAACAACGTATACGGCGAGAGAACGTTGAGGTATTTGCTACTGCGGGTAATAAATGTCTACCCAGTCAGATAAACTACATTTATATGCATTTGTCGCGCTCCTAAACAAGACTGCTACGGTTACATTAATACAAACCACAGCGGTTTTCTAATGTTACATAGTGATTATATTATATTATTTTGTAAAATAAAGAAAATATAAAAGAAAAATGATGTTTTCTGTAGGTATGTCAATTTGTTTCTTGCAAATATTGCGACCATAAGCTACACTAAATCTGCCCCAAGGATGAGACCTATTAAGTGTTGAGGTTTTAATTGATTTTTATAGTTTACAGTGGATAAGCAAACAGAAGACTATAGTATTATTGTAATTGGAGATGGAGCTGAATTGTTATCGTTAATTAATTATAGGAATGAGTCTATAGAATATACGAACATAACTTTGTCTAAATCTGTGGTGAGTTTATCTTTACAAAAAAACTTTTAAAATGTCAAAATACATTTCGATATTATTAACGTTGTTTCGAAATACATATATATAATATTTAATATACAAATCTGGATGAATATATTAATTTTTATGTAAAAGAATTATGCCATCAAAACTTGTAAAAAATACCAGGTCTCGCTACTCAGTTCTCGTTCGTAAAAAATTGTGTGATGCATGTAATACCAATTCAGTTAATTTATTCAGTCCCTACTTAAGGGAGTCTCTGTCTTATGGTATTAGCTAACCTAACAATATTATATATCATATCAATAACTTTCTATGTTTAAAAAATAAAAATAACTTGGCAAAGGTTTTTATGCTGTCGGTATCGAAACTGCAAATATTTTTCCTTGTTTTATACACAGAACTCTAATTTTGTTCTAATTTGATGCTTCTATATCTGTTAAAAATACCTTAGAGTTTTGATTATTGGTCAATCAGTTAGTAATTAGGAAACTTTGACGAATTATAATTCTCAAATTGAAGGTATTTTAAATATAAATATATATACAATTCAAGCTTCTATAACGAACTTATAGGGGAAACGAAAATTGCCTGAACTCTTTCTAGAAAAGTATCAGCCGCTTTTTGCTATAGATGGCGGGGTACTAATCTACATTCTAAACATAGAATTTGGATCAATAATTTACAAATTTTATTTACGAGTTGGTCTTTAGTTTTATTTTTACATCGAAAATAATAAATATTAATATTTTCATACTAAGATGTGACCGATTTTACGTAGCATACTTTGGCCATTTAATGGCATAGGTAGACTCAATACTTTGTGACCATAAATAAATTATAATAGGTATTTTCTAGCCTTTCCGTAGGTCCCTTGAATGATGTATACAATCATGTCAGTGAATTTTAATGATGCTTACGAAAAAACAATTCTCTCATATCAGACTAGATGACCACATAAAAAACGACGGGTTGCACTGAAAGTTCCGGCAGAAGTGAAAACTTGAATATTAACGTTGTGCATTTTTTATATTTTGGAATGGTTAGGGAATAATTTTGCACGAATTGCTTTAATTATCAGTATAAAAGTACTATCATTTATGTGGTAGAATTAATTAATAAGAATACAATATTTATTTATTGCGCTATCGTACACAAACATGACAATTTATATTACATTAAATACGCCCCGCCAGCTGTCTATAACTCTCCATCGGTCTTACGAATTTTCGATCAGGTCACGCGTCCTGACGCGAGTTTATTTTTTTTTACCCATTCCAAAAAAAGTGTACAACGCCGCTAAATAAGTTTTCACTTCAAAACACGCTGCATTATAATTATATTAGTTGTATGGTAAAACTCGATTTAAACATTTCAGGTCATGGGCGTATTTAATGCTAGTACTGGTTTAAATTTCGCTTATGTCACATGTGACGGTAAATGCCAAGTTATATTCAGAGCTTCTTCAAAACTGAGATTCACACCTGGATTTTCTGCCGAGCCACCGGTACCTGGAAGCAAAATATCTGCTTTTCCACTAACATGTAGGTCGAATAATAAATAAACCTCAAAAATAATAAATTGTTACGAATTGGAAATTACCCGATTTCCAATGTTGTTTTTGGTGTATTAGTTTTGGTTGTTACATTTTGGTAATTCATGTTTTGTTAGGAATTTATAGAATCTTGTGCAATATGTATTTAGATGTTAATGTATGGAGTTCATGCCCATTCTTATCCATATGAAACTACCTTTTGGAAGGGGCAACTAGAGTCATTTTTTAAAATATTTTTAACTTTCAAATGTGCTTTTTAATAGGCCTAGTTGAAATTAATGATTTGACTTTGAATGCTGGGATTAGTTAATACTGGATAACTATTTTTGGTTTTTAAATTAATGATCGGTAGTGTAGGTATATCTTGTCAACTAGCTTTTTAAGCGTTGTCGACGATGAATTTAAAAAATATGTGATTTCTGAATTTAAAGTATTGAGGCAATCTTAACAAGCATTAAAATAAACCTATAAGGAGATGTACAACATATTATGTTACAGACAATAAATCGTATTTATCAATTGAAGTTAAGAAATGCTATGGAAATATCGATATATTATCGGCCGAAGTATATAATCAAAAGAATTGGTCCCAATCACTCAAAATACACAAGATGTACGATAATTTATACTCTTCAGATAAACCGATATTATTTCCAAAAGATCTAATTGGAGTAAGGGTGAGTATGCATTTCAATAAGGCATCCTTAAAATCTTGTCTATTTCGATAGTGTGTTAGGTCTAGGTTAGTTGAAGTCCAGATTAATTCGCGCAAGTATTTGTTTATTCCAAGAATTTTATAAAACAAAACACTGCTTTCAACGAGTTTCTTTTTCCCAATTTAATAGACAACTGTGTCAAATAGGGGCCTTATAATAATATCTTATTAAATGGCAGCTAGGTGAGGGGTACCGGGCTCGATTCCCGGTTCGAGGGCAATCTTTAATTTAATTTAAATTTGTTCTCGGCCTTTGAGAGGGTTGTGTGGTGCCGGGCGAGTGCCTTAAACCGTACATGGAGGACACGGTCGAATTTCTAAAGACAAACATAAATTATAAAAAATCCTATACTTGACGCTGGCTAATGCACAAATCGTGCCAGAGCCATAAAGGGGCGTTAAAATTAGCGTCGTCTGTGACAGCAAGCCCAGTTTAATTTGTTGACTTATTAATTATAAATATACACAGGCAAAGATGCGAGCACCCAAACATAATTAAAATTGTATGTTAACTAATGTTCATCGCGTTCATGACCTCACTTTCACACAATACAGCCGAATTAGGTATTACTTAGTTACATGAATAGATTTTTTTCTTTTGAAAAATTGATTTTTTTTTGTAATAGAAGGCAAACGGGCAGAAGGCTCACCTGATGTTAAGCGATACCGCCGCCCATGGACACTCACATTGCCAGAAGGGTTGGAAGTGCGTTGCAGCCTTTCAAGAATTGGGTCTTTTCTTGAAGGACCCTAAGTCGAATTGGTTCGGAAATAGTTCAGTGGGCAGCTGGTTCCACATAGTGTGATGTGGACGTTGAGGTGCTACGGATGGTATTTTATATTCTGCCTTGACGTGCGATAATGAAACTCTGTAAAAATGTATTCCATCTTTGGATTTATATTTTATATTAACTGTAAGATTACGAAACAAATAATTTATGTATATATAACTTTAGGATTGAGCAGTGTTGGCCAAGTGGCTTCATCATGTGACTCTCATCCCTGAGGTCGTAGGTTAGATCCCCAGCTGTGCACCAATGGACTTTCTTTCTATGTGCGCTTTTAACATTCGTTCGAACGGTGAAGGAAAACATCGTGAGGAAACCGGCTTGCCTTAGACCCAAAAAGTCAATGGCGTGCGTCAGGCACAGAAGGCTGATCACCCACTTGCCTATTATCGACAAATGCTCATGAAACAGATACAGAAATCTGAGGCCTAGACTTAAAAAGGTTGTAACGCCACTGATTTATTTATTTTTTAACTTTTAGATTAACGGAGTCATAAACGAAACAGATGAAAAATTTACAAGCATCTACCCGCGATTAATTTCACCATTTGATAAGAACGGTAAGAATACTCGTACTATGTATTATAAGTGTATGATATTGTATTTAAATTGGGTATAACTACAAATATAGGGGGTCTCATAGCCTAGCGGTCTTATTAAGTGGCAGCTATGTGAGGGGTACTGGGTTCGATTCCCGGTTCGAGGGCAAGTTTTAATTTAATTTAAATTTGTTCTCGGCCTTTGGGAGGGTTGTGCGGTACCGGGCGAGTGCCTTAACCGTACACGGTCGAATTTCTAAAAAGACAAGCACGAATTATAAAAGTCTTATACTTGACGCTGGCTAATGCACAAACCGTGCCAGAGCCATAAAAAAAAACTACAAATATACTGGGCTACTCAACTAAAAACTCAAAATATAATAATAAATAAGGGTTTATATTCAACAATTATTCGTTCATAATACGTCTGCTGATACTGTCTGCTTCTTGAAAGTACACGAATATTTTAAAGCGCCTACTATTGAGTTATTAGCAATAAGTACGTAAACTCAGTAAGCTCGTAGCAGCTTTTAAATATAATTTTTAAAATGGCATCTTTTGATTTTGTTTGTTTTTATTTGAATTGAAAACATTTATTTGAATTAAGTTATTTTTTTATTAATTATAGTTGTATAGATGAAGTTTAAGATTATCTAATATTTGCAACATTAAAAAAAAAAACAGTATTGGCCTAGCGTGCAACTCTCATCCCTGAGGTCGTAGGTTCGATACCCAGCTGTACACCAATGGACATTCTTTCTATATGCGCATTTAACATTCAATCGAACGGTGAAGGAAAACATCTTAAGGAAACCTTGCCTTAGATCCAAAAAGTTGCCATAATGTGTCAGGCTATTGACAAACTAGCATGAAACAGATAATTAATATGTGCTAAATTATACAGATTTGGAAATAATAACAGTGAATATAACAATTGGAGATCATTTGACCATGGAATGTTCAGGATTAGACGGTGAATGGATTTTCTATTCTTCCAGGCAGAGTCCAGCATTGTCTCTAGATACCGGGTATGTTATACAGAATCTAATATATAAAATTCTCGTGTCGCGGTGTTTGTGGTTAAACTCCTCCGAAACGGCTTGACTGATTCTCATAAAATTATGTGTGCATATTGGGTATGTCTGAGAATCGGACAACATCTATTTTCCATCCCCCTAAATGTTAAGGGTAGTCCACCCCTAAATATATATTTTTTATTTTTAGATATTTTTTTCTGTTTTTATTTTTTTACAGCATTGGAAAATACATACAACCCCGAACTTTCACCCCTCTACGATCAACCCCTATTTTTTTATTATAAATGATATACATGGCAAAACGACGTTTGCCCGGTCAGCTAGTATGTTTATAAATACCATAAATGCTTGAGCATGTGCATCTCAACCCTGAGGTCGTGCGTTCAAATTGACACTTGCATGGTGAATGACAATTTCATTAGGAAACCAGCATCACTTAGACAAAAAATCGTGTCAGACACAAAAATCTCAACTAATTGTCTATGAACAGAATTCTGAGGCCACGAGGTTTTTTTATATTTTTTTTTTATGTATTGCGAGGCTTATAAGCTAAACAATGTTTACACAAAAGGGTAAAGATACAAGAAAGAAGTGGCTATTTGATACCTTCTTCGTTCCTTCTATCTTTGTAGTTTGTCACATAGACGAAAGTTCTTTGTTTTAAAATTGTTACAAAACAAGTTTTTCTAATACAGTTTAAACTCTTTATAACGTCATCCGTTATAACGTAATAACGTAAACATAGTTACATTAAATGTTTTGTTTGGATTAGCACAAAACCCATGCATTAATTCATTCTTTTTAAGACAGCAACCGCTCTCTATAACGATGAAATATTGTCATATTGAGACATCACCAGTAATCATCATCATCAGTAATAACATTAGAAATTACTGTAGGTAATTGATTAAAATTGTGTTTTTTTCTCTTCTATAACGATAACTCTATATAACGAAAAAAATCTCGGTCCCTTGAAATTCGACATAAGGCGATTAAACTGTAGTTGTAAATAAAACATAGCAATTTTTTATTTAACAAATATTTGACGTCCAAACGTTGAGTCTCAGTTCAGAATATACTTAACATTATATTCAATGGGTGTCTACTATGGGCTGCGTGGACTGCCCTTTTTGGTCGTCCCGCAAGCTCGTTTGCCCCCCCTATTATATATAAAAAAAATATATATACAAAGCAAGTTAAAGGGTTTCTATTACTGTAATAGGGCTTACATTAATAATTTGTTTAAAAATAAAAACACAGTATAACTTCATACACATTAAAAATCAATCAATTTCAACTAACATTATTTTAAAATGTAAACACTGAATAGCCATATAGTCTGATCTTCAGCTAATTGCATTAATACCTTTAAACCTTCAGGATACAGTATTTCAAAATAAAACGGGCTACACTTGAAGATGCTGGCTTATATATGTGTAGAAAGAATGATGCAATCATTACGTTATATAAAGTACAAGTGCAAGGTAAGTGTGTAGAACAAATTTGCTTTCTTTGCTTACCAGTAAGTGGCCATATTAAAGATGTTTTTTTTCTATTATCTTCCTTTTTCTTAAGAAATAGATTACCCAAATTTTTAAAGCTTAATTTGTTATTATTTACTTTTGCAGTGTTTGATTAAAACAATTTTACGATTTCCTCAAATCAATTCGACTTAGGGTCCTTCAGGAAAAGAGCGTACCATTTCTGAAAAGGCCGGTAACGCACTTGCGAGCCTTATGGCGACGCGAGTGTCTATGGGTGGTATCACTTAACATCAGGTGAGCCTCCTGCCCGTTTCCCTTCTGTTATATAAAAAAGTCTATATATTTTTAATATACTGATTCCAAATTGAGCTTGGACCACAATAAGTTTGATACTTTGATAAAATTGAACCATGGAGCAAACCAAAAATAGATTGTAGATCCATGACTATTGACTATACTATTATTATTTTTTCTTTCTTAGTACCACCCACTATTAGCAGAGTTAGCAAAAGAATGATAATCGCAATGATCGGTGATCCAGTTGTAGTGATGCCGTGTCTTGCTACTGGCAGCCCTGAACCCAACGTAACGTGGTCGCTTAATGGAACTATAGAATGTACGGTAGTATAGCTGTTTTGTAGCTTAAAAAAATGATTACTCCTTACGTACTATGTAAGCAAAAATAAAAATAATTTAAAGATAAGAAAATTATTTGAAATTATATAACGTAACAAAAATTACAATGAAATTTCCATATCGCTTTCTAAATTTCAAAGCTCTCGTTAAACGTAAATTAATCAATAAAACTTTTCATAAATTTGACGAATATTTAAATGATCCTAATACCTTGGGATTGATTTGCTCCAGTTCAAACAAATTGTATGACTCAAAACTTTGCGATTAAAAAGAGTGGCGGAAAGTTTCTTGCCACTTCTTCTTGCCCGCTCTACGCCCTTGACTTGCGAACTGGTAGTAAATGTAAATTTAGAAATAATCTATTTCTTCTTCTCTGAATAAAGTTATTTTGAGTTTGAGTTAAATGTACATTTATATGGTATGCAACTTGTATTTTAATTATATTTTTATCTGTATACTTGTTAAAATTTAAAGAAAAAATTGCACTTACAGTATTGTTCACATTTTTCTGATGATTATTTCAGGCACCAAGTGTACAACTGTAAATAATTCTTTGGTTATACATAATGTAACAGCTGATTCCGCTGGTATATACACATGCAAGGCACAAAATTCCCTTGGTTCAGCGTGGGAATACTATGTTCTTACTGTGCAAGGTAATTGTAAAAAAAATGACGAACGCTCGTTCCTTTTTCGAGTTCTGGTTTTTTAAATGTTTTTAGTACTAGGACTTTGTAGGACCTATTTTTCGGGTTGAATTCTACACCTTAGTAAACATGCTAATTAGAAACGAATGCTTAGTGAAGCTGCTTGATTATACATACTTAATTGCCGAATAGAAGCATTGGATAGCTAATTGTTGTTTGTATGAAGGATTTAACATTCATTCTTGATAAATTTTCCTTCGTAATTCTAGAGTTACTATAACTAAAAGTCTTCTATACGTACCTATGGATCGCTTACCTGCTACTTTTAATGGTCCATTAAATAGGCTATCTCGCTCTTACAACTTAATTATTAACCTTACTAAATAAAGTTACAGTAATATTGTGTATCACGCTCTTAATGAGGTTTGAGTTTCTATTAATTTTGGTTATATTTTATTTTGTGGCATCTTGTTTAATTTTTTCTTGCTAGTATGAAATTTTTATGTTTTAATATAATTGATGTTAAACATAAACATAACATTTATTACGAACGAAACACACACACAGAAACAAAATAAGGTACATTTAAGTTTGTAATGTGTGTGTGTTGTGGTTATTACTAGCCCTGGCTCAGCATTAAATTACTCACTGTAACTTCGCCATATTACCGATTATAATATATACCTGATTTATATATTTTAAACTAAATTAGATCCATTTTCTTTGATTTTTCTAAAGATCGCTGTTCTCTGAAGTATACATTTTTTTAGGAGCACCTTCGCAGTTATACATACGCAAGACTTTAGTTATCATTAAGGATAGAAAAACTAATATCCTCTGTAACATAACGCATTCGGAAGAAGACACCCTGAGGTGGTATCGAGTAAGTTTGTAGAAGAGTGACAACCACATGATAAGTTTATTAAATACACAAGACTTCTTTGCACTGCTAATTTTTACTATCATTATTTTTTCTACGAAGTATTATTATTACATTATTTTTTCCTTTTTTGCGACTCAAAGAATAATAACGCCATAGCTATAGGCGTTAGTAGGCTTCTTATTTCGGCCATAAATTGCGCGGAGGCGACTAGGAGAAACTTGGAGAAATCGTGGTCACAGTCGGCAAATCAGGCCGTTCATAACCAGATGCACCAATCTAGTGAAAGACTCATCGCCTTCAAAACTAAACACTGTTATAAGAGAGGCGCTGGACAGACATAGGTGGAAACAGATTGTCCGTTCTAGATGTTTCCTTACTGACCACACCGCCCAGACATAAGCTACCGACTGATAAGATAGAGAGGTTTTTTTTTTATAGAACGGGGGGCAAACGGGCAGGAGGCTCACCTGATGTTAAGTGATACCGCCGCCATGGACACTCTCAATGCCAGAGGGCTCGCGAGTGCGTTGCCGGCCTTTAAGAGAGGTGTTAGAAACGTGTATATTATCAGCGAGTTTCACTTTCTAGTCTTTCTTTCTAAGACTTAGAATGGTGATGATGAGGCGCCGGTATACAGCCGGCTTAATCTAAATAAGAGGTGACATAGTGTTTTGTTTTTTTCCAGGATGGACACTTTCTTATGAATGGAAAGCTAACGCTATATGGACGCTTACAAGATTCCGGAGTGTATACGTGTCGAATTACTAAATTAACCGGCATGATGGATTATACAGTTAATTTGACTGTCTGTTCACCACCGCAGTTCCTTAAGCCAGAACCTTCAATTGTTTTCATTTCTACTCGTACTATATTACGCTGTCATGTTATTGAATTTGGTGAAACTAAGGTGAAAGCGTTATGTTATTTCTCGACTTATTAATAATGTGTGTGTTTAGTGTTTCCGGAAAAACAATCTTTGTCAATCAGTCAATCAGTTTAAAAGCCTCAAAAGCTATATACTCTTGTTGTCTGTATGTCTGTAATTTTCTTATTATTAAAATATGTAACGTGAGACATGAATAAGAATTATATCGCTTGCTCCGGGGAGAAAAGATGTAAAAGCAAATCTAATTTTTCAGAAAAGATAAAAGAATTACTAAAATTGTGCCCATAATAATTTCCGTAGCATCCTCGTGTTTTATTAATAAAATGTTTTGCAAAAATTCTGAAAAAATCACCCAAATATGTCAACAATGAGAAAACATTAAAACAGTTCCCTGGGGCCAGCGATGTATAGAAACCTATCCGGTAGGTAGTAGTGTTGTATAATGCTTCACAAAATAATATATATTTTCAGTTTACTTGGACAAAAGATGGCCATAAATTGAATGGAAATCAACCGGAGTTGTTTGCGGCATATCCCGGGTCATACATTTGTGAAGTGACGTCACATTGCGGAAGGATATCACGCCGATTTGATGTTGTTATAGGTGGTATGTGTACTGTATACTATAGAGCTTAACTTTTGCTTTCCAATATACTATTACGGTAATAGTAATAAACTAAACGTGTAGAGCTTAACTTTTGTTTTCCAATATACCATTACGGTAATAGTAATAAACTAAACGTGTAGAGCTTAACTTTTGTTTTCCAATATACCATTACGGCAATAGTAATAAACTAAACGTGTACAAGTCGTCGGAAATATCTGCGAACCTGGCTTAATGACGTCATACAAACTGGAGAGATAGCAAAAAAATTGAAGATGTAAAAATAAAAAATATTTTATTTGTGTACTTATTTTTATTGATACTCGTACTTACTTGAAATTTACAAATACTTATTATTTACATTATTTAAAATTCAAATTATTTACAAATTTACAAATAATACAAAGAAAAAGTAGAGAGGAAGAGAAAGTGGCGAAACTATTCTAGAAAAGCCTCGACACCAGACATGGTAGCGCTGTCGTTTTCGTCATCTTCTATATTATCACTCAAAATGTTGTCTTCGGTTTCGCTGTCACTGTCTTCTCCTCCTAATGAAATTATTAATTCGCGTTCTTCATGTTCATATAATCTGTCATTATGCCAAAACTTATCTCTTAAGCGATCAACATGGTTGCATTCTTTTTTCCAATCTTCCGGGGTTATACTTTGGATCGCTGCCTTTGTTAACCTTTCTATATCTTTTTCTGATTGGTCAATATTTTTGTCTGCCACCCTTTGTTTCATCAAATTCCAAACATACTCAATAGGGTTGAGATCACAGTGGTAGGGTGGCAGACGTAATACCTCATGTCCATGAGCTCTAAATATTTCATCGATGAAATATACCTTCTCAGGTTTATTTCTTTGAATCAACATATACAGTTCTCTTTTAGTCATTTTGTCATCAAATTCGATGTTGTGTTCTTGCAGCCATGTTTGCATTTCGTTTTTTACGTGCACTGAAATTTGGCGGCTTATTTGCCTGCTTACTGTGATAGGGCGCGTTGTCCATGACAATTATTCCGTTGGGTGGAAGGTTCGGTATCAATTTCTCTTTAATCCATTTGGTAAAATTGGACGCATCCATTTCGTCATGGTAATCACCGGTTGTTGATTTACACTTATATAGGAGCTCGGCTCCTTGTATGAAACCGTTCTCATTACCTGCGTGTACCACAATCCAGCGCTGACCAGGAGAGTGATTTATTCGGACACTGGAATCACTACTATTTTGCCAACATTTTGAGACAGTATAGTGTGAATGTATCCAGGTTTCGTCGATAAATGTAACTGGTTTTTTTTCGGCACCACGTTCGTCATTTTCTTTCAGTCGCCTTAAATATTTTGCTCTCCAGGCTGCTATTTCAGGTCTTTGCACCAAAAAATCGCGTTTTCGTTTACATTTTTTAAAGCTGTACCCCAAATCATTTATTAGTATGTTTCTTAGGGCGTCTTTTTGGCCGGGAAAGTTGAGCTCCCGTTTTGCTATTGTAAGAATATTTTTTAAAGTAGGTATTTCTTTTCTTGTGGTATAAAAACTTTCAACCAAAGAGCGTATCGCGCATAAATCAAAATTATCTAGATCTATTTTCTTTTTTGTATTTTTTTACGCTTTTTCCCTGGTGTCGAGAGCTTGATAGTGTCCGTGGCAACTGAAGCTGAAGTACTAGGTTGTGGATGCTCACCATCTTCGAAGGACGTCATGTCTTCCTGAACATTCGCTGCTCGCGCTGTTTCTGTTTGTATTTTTTTTGCTTCACGTTTTATTGTCATTATTGTCGTTTTAGATAAACCAGTTGCAGCACAAGCCCTTTTTGTTGCTTGTTCAACCGGCACAGTGAAAGAGCCGTGTTTTTTTTCATTTTCAAAGAATTGGATTACTTTGAGCACTAAATTCCGCTCTGCACTATGTATAGTCCTACCCATCTTACATACAGCACTAAATAGGTAGTTTATGTAATATTTCACCAAACAGAGAAACAATAAACACTAAAATGCGATTACGAAAGCAAGAATAATACACGTGCGTCGGCGATTGCGTTGGCAACGGTACTGGATAGGCGAAAACGGGGCGGGGTGCGGGGAAGCGCCAGGGGAAGCGCATTCCAGCGAGGTTCGCAGATATTTCCGACGGCTTGTAGAGCTTAACTTTTGCTTTCCAATATACCATTACGGTAATAAAGTAAGTCCGCTAGCAACGTAATTGTCATATTCTTACTGCCCTGTATTCCATACTTTGATCCCAGGATGCCTATGTATTTTATATAACTTCCATTTTCTTGGCTCCAAAAACCCATCCTATCGGACCTGTGATAACTGTTCCCCACGTATGGGGCTTTTTTCAATTCCTCCTTCACTGTCTCTGACCTCGTTGAATAATTCATTATGTAATATGAAAATATGTATGTATGTCTTATTGTATTTTGTGCTTATATTTTTATATTTAGTATTGATTTTACTAAGTATACGTATAAAGTAGCGAAGAAAGAGGAGTAAAGATTAAAGAACGAATTATAATATCGCTGATAATTCACCGTCATCAAAATGTTTGAAAGAATGTTACTGATAATAGTTTTTGTATTTCGCAGGCTGTATATTGAATGTTGACAGCGACTTTGATGGCGTAAAGCCCTTTATTTTGAATTCAAAAGGAAACTTGCTCTCTCCAATGTATAACACTCTAAACGACGCTGTTTATATTGAATTTGGAAATTCGGTACACTTTAACTGCGGTTCAAACATAAGTCTTTACCATGACAAGGTTATTTTATCGAACAATTTCGTCCAAGGGAAATGCGTAAACGGTTCTGTTTTTGAAATTGATAAGGTTTTGTATGATTTTAAAAACTTATCCTGTGAGGGAAGGTTAAATAAAATAGTGCGCAATGACGAAGTTAGATGTGGTTGGAACAAAACATTACAAAATATTAATTATCATTTTGGAAAGATCTGTGTACATTTATACGAGGTATGTGCGACCAGGTTGGAAACTGTTTATATAAGACACAGACTAAACAAAGCAAAGGCCAATAAGATATCAACGCTTGCAGGTATTTATTAATTAAAGATAATCAGCTAACATATTACGTTAATTATGTGCTCTTTATTAAAATGTATTTTTATTGATGAAATTTTGAAAAATAAATTATTCTTAATGATTCTTAAAATACGAAACTTGATTTAAAATAAATCAATAAAGAAATTAATCAATAAAGCGTTTTATAAATTTGAGGAATACTTAAATGATCCTAATCAATCCCAAGGGGGATTGATTTGGTCCAGTTCAAACAATTTGTATGACAATACTTGGCGATTAAAAAGAGTGGCGGAAAGTTTCTTGCCAGTTCTTCTTACCCGCTCTACGCCCTTGACTTGCGAACTGGTAGTAAATGTAAATTTACAATGAATTTAACTTGACAATTCAAAAGTGTACTTGGTTACCCACTTGAATAAAGATATTTTGAGTTTGAGTTTGAATATAAAAATAATCCTAGCAATGCGAATGTGAACTATTTTTCTATTTATTTGACTTCATTATTTTATTTTATGTATAAATAAATCAAAAATGTACATGACTATTTACTCTAACCGAATTAGATTTTTTCAATTTCGCTTATATTTATTCAACCAATTCTTTGCATTATTAATAAAATTATATTTTTTAGATACGCCTAAACTGTTCTACAAGCGCCAATCTCTCGCAAATAAGTATAAGTGTGATTACAATGATTCCGGCTATTGCTTTAAAAGTAGACAACTACTAAACGCAAGGGATGTATATCCTGGCCAAGCTTTTACTGCAACATTTTCTAATTATAATATAGTACCTGAGTGGAGACAAGGATGGTCTGTAAGTATTTATGAAATTTTCAGTTAAACCACTTTCCTTAATGAGTACATGATACATTTAACGGCTAGTATTTCAGTCAATTAAAGTCAAACCATAAATAATTATATACTAAAACGTTCCTTATAATTACATTATCTATTGGTGCTAACTGTATCAAAATCCATTCTGTAGTTTTGGAGCAAATGCCGTTTATATACGCGTAAAGATTTTTCAAAAAAAAAACAAAGACACAAATTCTAATTGATAAAGTATAAAAGTCTACCTTCCTACATTCCGTGTAATTCAAACGCGTACGTAAAGAGCAATTATTTGCTCGTACAATGAAAGAAACATCGTAAGGGAAGTATGGCTTATAAACCAATATAGACCATATTTTATCCGGTCCCAATAAGCCGAGGAGATTGTGGTGTACCCTTTATTTGATGTCATGATTTGCCAAATTTACTATAGGTACTTGATGAATAGAAATCGTACATTTAGTTACTCTTTTGTTTGTTTGTAAGTTTCAGTACTCTGCTCGGTGAGCGAGAAATGAAAAGCCCGGAGGTGAAGAGCTAAACGATTCTATATTTAATAAATTGTTTTCTTTAAAATAATAGTTAAGGACCTATCCTATCGCCAAACTCCAAAAAAGTACATTGTTTCTTTCCATTTTTCGTCATCGTTTCTTGAAGTAGGGCGAATGGAAAAAATATATGGTGGAGTTGAGTAGTTTATGTATCCATTTTGAAAGATCGATACACGATTTAAATAACTTCGCTCGATAGAAAAAAAAATCCAAACATAGCCAATTTTTAACACTTTGAATTCATTTTATGACGAAAATGTATATAGAACATAATTTTGAAATTTACACGATATATTTAATCGCAAGCCAAGTAATCCATTTCAGAAAAAAAAATGATAAGATTACATTAATTTAATGTTTTACATAACTAATTGTTATTACGGGCCGACGCGACGCGCCTCTCCACTGCGCACCGCAGTCCACCCCGAGACAGTGACATAGCAATTCGTGCTGGGATAGGGCCTTAAGATTAACAAAAGATCTGCAAATACAACAGAGTTGCCGACGCTGATGGCGGGTTCTTTTGTGATTGCATGACCAGCGGATTGGGTAGCTCTGCTTAGCTTGTTGGTGATGGTGATCGGGTTTTTTTTTTTTTTCAAAAGCAGTGTTGGCCTAGTGGCTCCAGCGTGCGACTCTCGTACCTGAGGTCGATCGATAGGTTCGATCCCCAGCTTGCACCAATCCTTTCTTTCTATGTGCGCATTTAACATTTGCTCGAATGTTGAAGGAAAATATTGTGAGGAAACCGACATGTCTTAGACCCAAAAGTCGACGGCCGATCACCATTTAAAATGATCATGAAACAGATACAGAAATCTGAGGCCAAGACCTATAGAGGTCGTAGCGCCACTTAAAAAGTGAGAGCTAGCGGTGAATCGTAGTTTTCGAATACGTTTATAGATTTACCATATTATTCAGACAACTAGTTTTAAGAGAAGCTATATCAAAATTATTTCTTTCTTTATTAATATTTGACCTTCAGCAATAAATAGGGTACGATCAAAGAGCTTGAGAAGGAGGAGTTTTAGGTTTCATAACTGATGAATGCTATTTGTTTTCAGAATTGGGAAGAGCTAGAAAAGCGCGTTCGAATGATACCAAATTCACTACACAAAACTGCTGAGGTGTATGTTTATAATGGTGTGATTCACACTAGTAATTTAAATGCAAAACTTAAAAGGACTGTCACTATGAAGCACAATTATACAGTCACTTACACCAATAGCAACAACAAACAAAATATTCAACTCACACCAATGTTTTTGTTCAAGGTAATTTCACACCAAATCTCTTTTATATCCTATTTTCATTACATCATAATAAGTATATATCTTATAAATTTACAGGCTGTACACTACTTAACTGAGCGTATGGGAGTAGCGTTTATACAATTAAATATTCCCAACGTGACAAAGGAAGAAGCTGAAAAATACGTGTTTTGTGACGACATTTGTAAAGATATAGAGTGGTTGGGAAATGGAGATTGGAAAAACCCAAAGCGGGGCTATATTTACTGTTGTTCTATCAGAGAGTTTAATTCATTATTTGGCGATGTAGTTCATATAAAAGGAGTCTTAGGAATCTTAAGAAAAATTTAAAATACATTATCAATTCAATATGATCCATGTTATCGCCGACTATGATTGCTATAAAACAATGAAAAATTCGAGTAATGTAATTCATAAAATAAATTTACGATTCTATCCGTTCTAGAAGTTTTATTTAAATGTGGAGATAGCAAATAATATGAGAGCCCACAAGAAATACGGCTCAACCTTCTTTTTGCGTAGCGTTATCATCAATTATAATATTAAAAAAAATGTTTGTCAGAAATAGCGAAAATCCGAAAGATTACTTAGAATTGAGAAACCTTAATAATTGAGGTGTAAAGCGTTTTTCAGCACGCATTGACTTTTCCGTTTTGCAATGATTAAAGGTCGATTCACACATATCAGTGAGCCCACAGTTCCGGCACAGTACCGCATCAGTGATAATTATTCTTTCAAACATTCTCTATGGATGTATTCACACTTGTCAGTGTCAGTGTCGTCTCAGTACCGTCAGTGTCATTGCCGGCACCGGCCATCACGGACGTGATCGGCGACAACGATATTTTATCTCGGATCACTGACGCCGCGTTATTATTTGTTACATTTTATTTATTGCAGAAGAATATTGAAGCAGCTCTCTGACATTTTAAAATATTTTCTTTAACTAATTCTTTGTATAATATGATGAATTCTCCTTCCGTCTCTCTTAATTGGCATGCTTCATGCACCCATTTTCTTTTTTTTCCTTGATGCTGCTCTTCTTCTTCATCTAAAGCAACAGCTATAATTGCTAGCTCCGTAGTATTGAATAGAGCCATAATCACGTTACTTGACAACGCGACGGACACGTTTTCACTGAAGCTCCGTAAACTGAGTACTGACATGTGTGAATTGAAGCACTGACGCACCACTGTAGCACGGATACGGAACTGTAACGGTACTGTGCCGGAACTGTGGGTTCACTGATATGTGTGAATCGACCTTAAAGAGTTTTGCTGATCGGTAATATATCAATATGTCTGAAAATTATTGGACGTGAGTTAATTTTGGTGCGGTTCGAGGATATTCAAATAAATGAAACTTTTTGTTTGAACCTTGTTATCAACTTTAGATTAGACTTTAATCAATTAAAACAACGCTTATAACATACAATTAAGGATAGTGGGGTTACGATGCTGGACTTTGTTAAAACTAGGTGACACATCTGTTACCTATAAAAGATATACGATGTCGACCTATTGTACATTATCGGAAACAAGAACAATTACAATTAATGAGTGTATATAGGGTTCATATATTACTGGCAAAACTGACGTTTTACAATTTATTGTCTTCAAGTATGTCATGATTGTTAATATTAATTGTTCTACTACTCGTAACTAAAATATATACAGTCAAAACTGTTAACGACCACATCGTTTATAACAACATATCGGTTATATTGACCAAAATCCCGGCTGAATTCTATTGTATTAGGCACTTAATGACAACGTCATCGGCTGTTACGACTATCGGTTTTTACGACCAAATATGGGTCTTCGATGTCGTTATAACTGATTTTGACTGTAGGTACAGGTAACTTAACTTATGTTAGCTCAGAAAGTTTCGAACTTCTGAAATTATTTAATAGTTGTTCTATATCACGTATGATATTACAAGCAAATTAATAAGTTGCGTTCCTCAAATATATGATTAACAAAGCGTTTCTCTTAATTCGCAAGCGCAAATTCGGCCCCACATGGAATGCTGTTCTCACCTCTGGGCGGGAGCTCCTAAGTACCAGCTCCTTCCACTTGACCGTATTCAAAAAAGAGCGATTCGAATCGTCGACGACCAGTCACTTTCCGTGCGTACCATGTAGAATGTTCAGAGGAGTTGTTCGGTCTAATACCTGCAGCTTAGTTTCATTATCGGACGTCAAGGAAAAATACAAAATACCATCCGTATCACCTCGACGTCCGTCGTTCCACAACTGAGCGTTTTCAAAGGCAGTTTTTGCTGCGCACCACCACTATGTGGAACCAGCTGCCCACTGAAGTATTTCCGAACCAATTCGATTTAGGGTCCTTCAAGAAAAAAACGTACCAATTCTTGAAAGGTCGGCAACGCACTTGCGAGCCTTCTGGCAGTGTGAGTGTCCATGGGCGGCGGTATCACTTAACATCAGGGAGCCTCCTGCCCGTTTGCCTCCAATTTCATAAAAAAAAAAACTGAAGATGAGGAATTTAGTAAATGGCTGAAAAGGAAACTGGGATAAAATTTAATAAAAAATCGTTTTTGTAGCATCACAAAGTCTGAATGTGAATTTAATCACTGAGACTCAAAATCGTCGTCGAAATCTTTCTCCGCATCGCTTATGGGATTTCGCCGTCTTCTATAAAATAAAACCATTAGTGAACCTTTGTAAAATGTTGTGTTGTGTATAGGCACGTCTGAGACACAGCCTGGTTTGTCATAGCACATAAGAAAGTGTAATCAAGGAAACAATAAGGAACTTGAATTACCTGCATAATTCGCCAATGTTTCGGGTTTTATCTAACTATGACACCGATTATGAGGATATTGATATTTTCCACCTCACTAAAGATGTGAGAAAGTATTTGAAGAGGCGGGAAGACTCTGATTTTGTTTAAGCAGTAATTTGAAATATTAAGTGTTATTTGTTGTTTCAAATTTTAAATTTCAGATTTCTTTAGTTTTTTTAGCTATTGCATAGATTTTATCGCGGGCTCTGAGCGCGGCGACCGAATCAAGTAATTCCGTAACGAAAATAAAAACATAACACACGATGACGTAATATAGGTGCGGCAAATACGCGTTAGAGTGGGACAGACTATATAGGCGTTTTAGTCTGAGTCTGGTAGAGTGGTAGATTACCATAATATCAAAGAAAAAACTTGAATTAAAATCAAAGAAAAACAAATACTGCATAAATAAAAAATAAATAAATAACTGCATATTGCATAAGTTTATAAAAAATGTTTGTAACACCTTTGGTCTATAAGGGTGAGAATGAAAAATAAAAGATGAAAGTGTACGTTCCGATCGCTTACAATAGTATTTCTAGTCTAACATGCGTTGCCTTAAGATGCTTAAGATGCTTATTACATCCGTATAAACACATATTAAAGTACTGGTTTACTTGGCTACAAGGTATATTTAAATCAGTGGCCCTACAACCTTCTTAGGTCTGGGCTGCAGATTTATCTGTATGTTTCATGAACATTTGTCAATCTAATAAGTGAATAACGTCCTGAGCCTGACACAAGCCGTTGAGTTTTTGGGTCTAAAGCAAGCTGGTTTCCTTCACCGTTCGAGCGAATGTTAAATGCGCACATAGAAAGAAAGTCCTGGTGGCTGGGGATCACTACGACCTCAGGGATGAGAGTCGCACGCTGAAGCCACTAGCCCAACACTGCTCCAAGTATACAATTTACATACATAAAAAATAAATAGCTTTAACAAAATAATTTCAAAGTCACGGAGTTGCAAGATTTCACAGGCACAATTAGTGATCATTATAATTATTTTCCAGTCGTGTCAAATATTACGCAATTACGATTTCGTCTTTGTAGGTTACCAAAAACTCGGGGCATAGATTTTCATTTTATTTATTTTTAAATTATTTTTATTATTACTTTGTAGGTTAAGAAAATTGTAAATACTGTATTTTAATGAGCTATTCAAATATATTTGCGTTCTAGAAGAAAAAAAATTAATTCACATTTTAATATATAATTGTTATAATGTTGTATCTTAAACTAAAACTCTTTTCACGTCTTTAACAAAGCAAATACCGTTGAATTTTTTATGGAATTCTTGGTAAGTGCAGCAATATGTGTAGCCCTTCGTGTAGTCTTTCCAATCAGGGTTTTTCAGCCAACTGACACCGTCACAAATGTCTTTGCAGAGCACGAATTTCTCAGCATCTTCCCGTGAAGAGATTTCTGGACTATTCACTTGAACTATAACGACGCATGCCTCCTTTTCCGCATCGCAAACAATCTGTAATAATTATTATTAACTTTGATAGATATCTTGTATATTTAAATGTATATGCAGGTCACATATGTAAAATTATTTGTATTTGTTTTTTATTCACTAAACAATTTAATTTATAACATCAAGTTAGGATTGCATAGAGAAGTTTTAAAGAAATTAAAACGTTCATAAGGAAATCTTTATATTATATACTATACAGAAGGCATAAAATGCTTTATACCTCACATACAGGTACATAAAGTTTAAGGATCTTAAATTACTTTAAAAATAGAAATTATTATTTTTGTATGAAGAATAATTGTCAGATTTTCAATAGGATTCAGGGCATATACGTCTAATAGTTAATTATTATTTTCTTATGTAGCCAAGTCCACATTTCAAGGATCGTCATGCTCGCTTAAACGTCATTGCTTGTGGCGGCGTCCATGCGTCGGGTTATCTCTCTCCCTAAAATATGGCGAGCGGGCCGATGGCTGGCCATGCGTCATACTCGTGAACGGGTGCTACTTGTGGTGACTGGTCGTACTTGAATTCGTGTATGCGGTAATGTTACTTATTTCGACTATGTGTTTGCGTGTTGTTCCCACAAGAATGTAAGTGCGTGCTCCTATTTCACCATGCCTCCTGCTGATAGAGGACAAGTCTTTGTTTTTAATTTATGTTATTATTATTAATTACTTAAGATGACATGTGGAACATGGTGTAATGGTTGCAGCTCCTTACAAACGTTGTGTAAAAAGAAAATGGCGATTAAAAAGAGTGGCGGAGAGTTTATTGCCAATTCTTACGTTCTACGCCCTTGATTTGAGGACTGGCACTAAATGTAAAGTTAGAAGCATTTCATATACATTTCTTTTTTTGTTGACGATCATAAGTGTACAATGTGTTACCTATATGATTTAATGATTTTTGAATTTTGAATAGGGTTGTTCCTAGTAAAAGCTATTCTACACTACTAACACAATGATATTGGAATTTAAACATAAGGGAATACGAAGAACAATAAGTTAAAATAAACACCTAGAGAGCGTTAAAACTTCGACTTCTACAAATATTTTTCCTCGAAAATTACTAAACAGCATTGATCATAGGATTCCAGTTTTAATTTTTATTAAAAATTATTTAAAAAACCTCCTAGATCAGCTTCTAAAATGAAAGCAGTTTTTCTTATCTCATATAAACATAATTGTATAGATGGTTAAACTTTTCGTGTTAAAAGTATTTTTTAAATTCACAAGCCGACTTGTGATGTTTTATTTATATATTTTACCACTTTTATACTGTTAAATATTACTTAAATTTTTCAGAATAGGACATAACAAATCCACGTACCTTCCAGAAATACTTTGGCACTGCTATTGAACGCCCATATCTATCAGATATAGCAATATTAGTCGTAACTCCAAACGAAGTAGGCAAGGACAGTTGTCCTGAAACTCCACTCCATACAAGAAGTCCGTGATCCAATGTCTTTTTCAATTCAAATACACGACGTTCAATTTCACCCCAATTCTGAGGAAATTAAAATAAATAAGTATAGAGAGCAGTGTTGGCCTAATGGCTTCAGCGAGCGACTCTCATCCCTGAGATCGTAGGTTCGATACCCGGCTGTGTACCAATAAATTTACGTATATGTGCGCATTTAATATTCGCTCGAACGGTAAAGGAAAACATCGTGAGGCTTCTTCGAATCGGCTTGGCCAAACTCAAAAAGTAGACGGCGTGTGTGTGTGTCAGGCACAGGAGGCAGGTGGTTCCACATAGTAGTGGTGCGCGTCAAAAACTGCAACGCTCAGCTCAGCTCAACGACGGACGTTGAGGATACGCATGGTATTTTGTATTCTGCCTTGACGTCCGATGATAAAACTCAGCTGCAGGTATTAGTCTCAACAAATTCTCTGAACAATCTACATGTTGAGTGCTGTAGATGCAGAGATCTCCATATCTCTACGCAACGCCAAGGGAGCAAGCCACTCGGAAAGTGATTGGTCGTCGGCGATTCGAATTGTTCTTCGTTGTAAGCTGGAAGCTGGTACTGGGAGGCTCTCACCCAGAGCTGAGAACAGTACATCACTACCGCTTGCAACTCTATAAAGCGCAAATTCGTGCCCGCATAGAGTACTGTTCTCACCTCTGGACGTCAGCTCCCCATTACCAGCTAACTAACTATAGATAAATTAACTAGCAATAGATTAATTTTGTCACAACTAATTTATGTCTTTTTTTATTATTATTATTTTAGAAATATTCAATATCTCACCACTTTATAGTGACTCCATTGAGGCTCGACGTTTATATATTTGAAAGCAATTGCTTGCATTCCGGGAAACAAATCCTTGGGATTGACCATCTGTTGTTTTTCAAAACATCCACCCTTTCTATAAAAGTCCGTCCAAGTAGATTTGGATATAATATCGTTCTTTTGCTTGTCACAGTCATACAAGGAATCAAAATCAAATTGCATGTAGCTATCGCCTTCAAAGTTTATAGATGGCGCTACGTTACTGCAAGATTTGTGTATAAAGTTTCGAATATATATCGGCACTCTTGTGTCTATGTTAAAGCATACTTCATAGATGGGCAGAAACTGTGTGTTTACTTCATAACCAATCATAATTATTGTATTTCTTCTTGAGGCAAAGCTGCATTTGATGCGCGTGTTTCTAAAAGAGGCTTTAACGGGTTCGTGACACTTTACATCTCTATAGTCTATGTCTTGATTAGTGGTTTTAAAAATGGAATCTTTGTCACATACTGCGTTGATGGATTCACCCAAGTTTTTTCCGTGATATTCGACGTAGCTGTTTCGGCAGTGCAAGAAAACAGTTTCACTTTTGGGTATGTTAACTTTATAATCGACAACATCAAATCTTGGTATATATCTTGTTCTGGTTAACAATAAAGGTTCTGGTTTCGCAAAATAACTCCTGACATCTAGTGTACAATCTAAAAATATTTTTTTCGTATTAGAACATGGCAAGTTGTATTACAACGATATTGGTCTCCTAACTTAACCTTCATAGGTAATGTTATTATTTGTAAAGTAACTAATATGCTACAATAAAAATTTATAGTTATATATATATATATACATATATATAAATATAAATTTATGTATATATATATATATATATTTATAGTAGGTAATAATTTAACTATGTATAATAATTGAAATGTAACAATTTCTCGCTGTAATTCGAAAATTATACCATCATGGAAAAAAGCACCAGCTCTAGGGTCACCAATACAAAACAGTATATTTTTAAAGACCCCCTTCAATACTTCTTCTTTTACTTTCCAGTAGACGAGGTAATATGTGAAGAAATTTTCATACGACAATGTTTAGTTCTAAGGTTTTAATTCTAATTTTAAATTAATATTACTTACTAGGAGCTACAATGTTAAAAGTACGCGTGATTTCTCCAAACGCATTCCTCACTTCACAGGTGAATGTCCCGAGATCTTTTGTATATATATATTGATCCGTCTTGCGTAATTTTCGGTCATTGTGATACCACACCACCTAAATAATTTTGTTGCATTAAAAAATATTTATGTATAAATATTTCTTCAAAATACAAAAAGGGTTCATCGAGTTCATTCATACAAGTTTTGAATTTACAAGTGTTACTCTATTACTAGATTAACACAGAGCAGTGAGGGCTTAGTGGCTTGAGTGTGCTACTCTTGACACTGAGGTTCAAATCACGGCGTATTTAATATTCCAACCGTCATGGTTTGATACAAAAATGTGACTTTCTACTTGCCTATTAAGAAATAATTATAAGATTGTGGTGAAAAATTACTCGGTGGATATTTTCAGCAACTCCATAGAGACACTCTCAAAGCCAGAGGGCTCGTGAGTGTGTTGCCGGCCTTTAAAATTTACCTGTGGTGTAGGGTAGCCTATCGCCTTACAACTAAGGAACACATCATTGTTTTCCACGTAATCGATCGTTGTAAGCTCGTTCGTAGCAAACTCTGGAGCTGAGCAAACAAAGATCTTGATTTGATAACTCTTAGAGTCAAGAAAATTGCTGACTCTGCATGTGTATACGTCTGATTCGGTCAGTCTTCCAAACAAACTCAAAGTGGTGTCCGGTAGTAAACTTTTACCCTATAAAAGTAATAATAATAATAATTGGATTATTAAAGCAGACAATCATAAGTCAAGGCTGTTATTGTGTTAGTTACAATATGGTCCTAAATATTGTATTATTAGGTTTGCTTTAAAGTAAATTTAAACTCAAAACAACTTTATTCATACAGGTTACCAAGTATACTTATGAACGTCAACAGAAAAGATGTTAAATTGAATCTAAATTTACATTTACTACAAGTTCGCAAGGCAAGGGCCTATAGGAAAGAAGAACTGGCAAGAAACTCTCAGCCACTCTTTTTAATCGCCAAGATTTGAGTCATACCAATTGTAATGAAGAACAGCCATAAATATTTGAACTGAAGCAAATCAATCCCAGACTCACTGTTGACGCCCTCTGCCCCATCTAGGGGTTATAGGGCATTAAGTCAAGTGAGTCATGAACTTGTGGGCCACTCGCCAATTTATCATATTAATTACGTACCTTATACCATCGCACTAAGTCCAATTTACTATGAGGCAATTTACATTCGATATCACTTATTTTGTCTTTATTTATACACAGTTCGTTTGTCGTCACTTCTAGCTCTGGTGATGCTAAAAATAATTTTAAAAGTGCACTATTATGTTTGATCCTTAACCATTGAATAGCTAGAATGATTTATATGACCCATTGGTGCTATACTATGTTGTATAGGTTAAAAAGAGGGTTTAATAACCTATATACATACTACATAGGTTTAATTTTAGCCAATTGTTCTAATAGGTATCTACATAATAAAGAGCTTTAGGGCCGGCGCCCATTATCGGCATCGGCAAGGAAAAGGATCCTTCGGCATCCTACATGCAAGCGCACACTATCGGCAATTATGCTTTGGCATGCTGCAACGTTCTTAGGGATGACGAAGCGTCCTTAAGGATGCCGCACCGTCGTGTAGCTTGCCGAAGCGTCTTAATATCGTATTTCTCATCATAGCGCCGGCGGCGTACCGAATGTTGCCAAAGGATGCCGAAGCATCCCGAAGCATTCTCAAGGCTGCCGATACACCAGCCTCAAGCATACCGAAGCGGTATTTTTGTTATTACGACCACATATCACGGAAATTTCTACTTTATTGCCATTATGTTATAGTATATTGCTATTTGCCACCTAAAATCCTCAGTCGTACCGATGCCGATAATGGGCGCCGGGCCTAAGGCATGATAATCTAGTAGCGCTGGGGTGTGGATAGAGAACCTATGTAACAGTAATTCTAACTAGGGTCTGGACGGTATAATATTATTTGCTACGAGTCATTTAATTTATTAATAATTCTTTTTTTAAATACAATATCGAATAATATAATTTAGCATTGCTGTGACCTTATACTCCACGACAGTTCTCTTTCCGTGCTGAATCAACAATATATAGTTAAGAGTGTTTTATTGATTTAATATAAATATCATAACCAGTCTTCTGATATATTTCTCCGATGTTTCACGGTATGAACAAATCGGCACAGTCAGTATTTGAACGATCGACGTTAGGGTTGATCAGCTGCTTTTGCAATCACTACTCTGTAATTTTGTTTACGCACATTTAACACATAGGTGAAAAGTTGAAAAGGTGGGAGCTTGTAGTTTATTGTTTATCAGAATGCCAAATCATAAAATGACTGCTTCACGACTGATTTGAGAGCGACCGCCGATGCGAAAACCGCTGTGTGAGTTCGAAAAGTGAGTTACAGAATCGCAAGGCTGCGCAGAAAAATTGTCTGCCACCATGGTAGTGCTGTTTTTCTAATAAGAGCGAATCAAAAGCTAACCCAAAAGAAATAAAACAAAACTTACTTAAAACGTCAACTTCAAATGTCTCACTTGCACTCCCATACTTGTTTGTCGCTATGCAGATCAGACTACCCGCAAAAGCAATATCTATGTCTCTCATTATTAATGTTCCATTTTCGACAAAATAATTTGTACCTGTATTTAAAAAATATGACATTTTTCGATCTTTCAAAAGCTTTTAAACTTTCAGGTAAGTCTGTTAGGCAAGATGATGAACCTAGCTTAGAAACTTATAACTTATTAAGTCAATATGTTGCCTTAAGAATTCTTTGTTGTAATTTTTTCATTATTTCTTCCCTATTCTAAATTAGCATAGTATGCGCGAATATAAATACTAATAATAAAATGTTTTTTTACTGTTTGGATTTATGTTATTTATCATGTATATAATAAAAACTTTATTCATTTGTTTCAGGTTGTGACAAAATTCATCTATCGCTAGTCCCCACACTAGGGAGTCCCTGTGTTGTGGGTAAAAAGATAACAATTATTCCGAGTTCAATGGTACATATGTAAACAGATTTTTAGTAGTTCTGTTTAAGTGTTAAAACTAATAAAACACAACTCGTAAAAGACATTAAATATGGGTGAATGTGTGCGTATGTACAAGTATATATCGTGTGAATTTATATCGGGTTAGGCTGTACTTTTTTAATTTGATACAATTACAATAAATAAATATTACCTAGAGCAAGAGGTAATCCATCTTTCATCCATAAAATGTCTGGTTTCGGATGTCCGGAGGCGTTACAAGGTATTTGAAAAGATAAATCTCCAACAACAGCCGTCAATTTTCTCGAAATCAAATTATTCACAATCGATGGCGGAGCTGTTATATAATAAAAATTATGTCATTATTACTTATACTTACTTGTATTTAATTGTGCTTTTGTTTTTTTCTGCCCAAACAAAATGGGAGCTAACTTAGTGTTTATGGACGAAGGAAGCTGTACTGTTATTCCAAGCTTTTATTTACAACCGGGCAGGAGGTTGAGGATCATCACCGGACGACAAGGCAGAAAATACCATCCGTATCACCGCGACGTCCGTCGTTCCACAAGTAAGCGTTTCTAAAGGCAGTTTTTGCCCCGCACCACCACTATGTGGAACCAGCTGCCCACTGAATTATTTCCGAACCAATTTGACTTAAGGTCCCTCAATCAAAGAGCGTACCAACTCTTAAAAGGCCGGCAACGCACTTGTGAACCTTCTGGCAATGTATGTCCATGGCCGGCGTTATTACTTAGCATCAGGTGAGCATCATGCCCGTTTATAAAAAAATGGAAGTATCTCAAATATGGAAGGAATAAATAGTCAGTTTGGAATCTATATTACCTTCAACATAAACTTCATAGTATAATTTGACATCGTCTTTGCTGTTCTGTGCTGTGCAAATGTAATAACCCGCCTGTTCGACTAACATGTGGTCCATCGCATATGTATTATTATCAAAGGTTGCGCTGAAATCATAAATAAATCTATCAAATGTGCATTTGAAATAAATTATCAAGTTTTATTGTAGTTATGGTAGACTATTTGGCTATAATGATTTAAGGCACATAAGATATCGATATACTGTGGCGGACTTTTGTGTAGGACTTTTTAAGATAAACATTTTCATCATACATTACATATTATGTGTAACTCTAGCGGTTTTGGCAGCGCACGCCAGAACAACTCGCGGATGGTAGTGTTTTTCCTACTTACTTGATATTTGGACAATTCACACAATATCTTTATAAATTGTAGCCTATGTGTTATTCTGATGTATAAGCTATATTATTGTAAAGTTTCATTAAAATCCATTCAGTAGTTTTTACGCAAACATCCATCTATATTTACAAACTTTCGCGTTTATTATATTAGTAGGATATATATACGAACAAAAGCTTAATTTCAAGTACCTTATTATTTTCTCACAGCAACCAAGGAAAGGCTTATACAACCATTCGACTGTTGGTTTTGGTGTACCTTCGGCGACACAGTCCAAACTTACGCTACTTCCGACATCCAATTCATAAACGCGTGTAAGAGGTGACTTTATTGATGCTGGAACTGCGGAAATTCAGATGTTAACTTATTCAGTGGTATTTTATTACTTATTATTTAATAGTGGTATATTATTAGTGGTTATAATATAATTGTTAATCTATAGGGCTACATACTTTTCTTGGCCGGTAAGAGCGTTGCTGTCATATTAGTATTGCCAGTAAATAATAATTAACAATTATATGGGGAATAATTTTAAGTGTAACTTAATAATTTATTGAAATGTCTTAGTAAAACAATGTATACTAGTATCTAGAAAATACAGTTCTAGGCTTAAATAAATGTGACACATACAGGAACAACTGATATGATAGGTTTTGTTACCTGTACTATTAATATAATATCTTTTAAGTACCTAGCAATCAGAACCGTTTTATAATTAAAACTTTGTCATTGTAATTAATAACAAAGGAAAACAGTAAATACTATTTAGTACCATTTTCAGTCGCCGGCCAAGAAAAGTATGTAGCACTGTATATTATAATAGATATAAAAAAATGGGTATATATAAAAATTAAGAATTTAAAAAGTTTGGTCCCTGTGGCAGTGTCCTGTAATGCTGGCAGCATTTTCTCGCTGTACTAAGTATTTTTATTTCTTTATGTTTCACTATAGCGAAATATATAATAATACTTTATACATATAACATATACCTCGATTTTTAGTTTAACTTTCTTGGTAGGTATAATAATTCTTGGTATTCTCAATTAAATTCTAAATTAATTCTATATTAAAGATTTTACTCAAATTAAATATGAAACTTTTAAGTATTAAATAAACGATATGTAATTGTTTTATTTTCTAACGGTTTTAAAAGGAATTTTATAAATCTGTGTCTTTAAAGCCATCCAATTATGTATCTCCTTCCATAATCTAAATTTGTCATAAAGTCAAGTTTGTCAAGAGATGACATACTTAATTAGCGAAATTTGTGTATTAAAAATTAATAATTATTTTATACAGGGAAAGTATTTTCAGCGTAAACTGCGTCTATCGTTGTTCTAAAGGAAGTTAGAACACAATTAAAAAAATATGTGATCGGACCATATTGTAGCTAAAAGACCACGAGAGGGCCTCAATTAACTACACCACAGAAATTCTTAAAATGGCCGACAATGCACTCGCAAGCCCTCTGGCATTGTGAGTGTCCATGGGCGGCGGTATCATTTAACATCAGGTGAGCCGTTTGCCGTGTGTGTTCAATAAAAAAATATAATAATACTTACTAAAAACGTTGACATCCACATGCACCTCTCTATTTGCGTCGCCAAGGCTATTCGATGCTTCACATTTGTACGCGCCCGTGTCGCTATCAGTTGCAATGAAACTAGAACAATGAATTTGTACAAAATATATATTCCCACCTAAAAGTAATTAAAAAAATTGTATATCATTACTTCAGCAGTTGTGTAAGATACAATTGTGTTTCATAATAGTACAAAATGCAGTAAAATATTTTAATGACGTATACCCACGTATTATTAGTATTTTTATAAATATTTACACTCGAAAGCAAAGGTAATGCATGTCAACAATCATAGGAACATTACGAAAACAGTTAAAAAAATCAACATGGAAAAATCCATATTACTACTATTACGGTCCAAAATATAAATACAGTATCATCGAACGCGGAGGCAAAATATGAAATTCCGTTCGACCTCCGTCGTTCCACAACTGAGCGTTTTTTAAGGCATTTGCCGCGCACCACCACTATGTGGAAACAGCTTGGTCGAGGTATTTCCGAAGCACACCTTACCACTTCATAAAAGGCCGGCAACGCTTTCGCTCTCTGGCATTGAGAGTATCCACGAGCGGCGGTATCACTTAACAACAGATGATATTTCTGCTTGTTTGCCCACTCTTGTAAAAAGAAATCGATAAATAATGCAATATAAGTTCACCTTAACGTAAGATTTCTGTAAATGTTGTACCGCCCACCGCTTGTGATTTCCCGCCCTTCGTATAACCATCGCACCTTGGGTGAAGGTAAACCACTAACATCACAGTCTATCGTAACAGGCTCTCCGACTATGACAGAAACTTTTTCTGAAGCCGTGCTGATGTATGGGGGATCTAAAATGTAATAAAAAAACATAAATCAGTGGCGCTTAAACCCTTTTTAGCTCTGGGCCTCAGATATCTTTATCTGTTTCATGATCATTTGTCAATCTAATAGGCAAGTAGGTAATCAGCCTCCCGTGCCTGACACGGCTTAAGGCAAGCCGGCTTTCCTTTCCACGATATTCCTTCACCGTTCGAGCGAATGTTAAATGCGCACATAAGAAAGAAGTCCATTAGGGCCCAGCCGAACCTACGACCTCAAGGATGAGAGTCGCACGCTGAACCCACTAGCCAACACTGCTCTAATCTATACTTTATTGAAACGCATATTTGAGTATTTTTTTGATTGATTGTTTAGTAATAATATAAATAATAGGTATTTTCGTTAGAAATATACAAATCAAATGTTATTTAATTATAACAGTAACTATGTTATGAACGTCAATAAAAAAAAGATTTAAATGAACATTTACCTAAAATGATGAATATATGTATATATAATTAGTAATACGTATGTCCTTTACTTAAGTGTAATATTTTAAAATCATAATTAAAACTTACATAGGACATATACTTGTATGTCGGCTGAGTCGAATCCTTTCGGATTATTAGCCTTACATTTGTATAAACCAGTATTGCCCATACCCAATTTGTTTATATGAAACGTTTTTCCGGTAGTGGGCAATTTCGTAAATTTATTCGATGATGGATGTTTGTAGAACCATGTGATTGAAGGCTTTGGTTTTCCTTTTGTGACCCTGTAATAGATAATATATTATATTCACACGAATGTCACATACACACACATTATGACATCAGAAGAAGAAAATACAGAAGTAGAAGTTGAACAGTCGCAGAAGGAAAAGTACAGTTTGAAAGCATTTTATGATAATTATTTTATCAGATATGTACCAAAAATGTGCATCGAATCTTCATCAAAATATTCATCTGACTCGTTTTTTATTAAATCCATAGCACACGACTATACACCTTCACTATTGTCAGCTAAATTACTTCTGAATTTGCATGCGTGTCGTGGTGTCGCGAGTTGGTAATGTGCACGATGGACATCGGGTGTCGAAATGTTGCGTCGCGTGGCGTTTTAATAATGTGTTTCCTTTATAGTTTTTATGTAATTGGACTTTTACTAAAGGTGCGCTTACACGAGGGCAATAATTGCTCGGCGATACGAATGGACCGATCTGGAGCAATTTCAATAAATTATTTCGGCGATATTGCTTCTAATTGCTCCAGATATTTCATATCGCTCAATGTCGCAGATACGAATTGACGAATGTCCAATGGACTTGGAAATTCCTAGCAATTTTTGTATATATCTCTTTTGCACTTGTTTGTTTTGCGGCTTGCCGTCTTGCTTCCGCGGGGAGAGCAAATAATAATAATTTCTAATTACTTTATTCAAAAGTAATTCAAAGTCTGGTGACATTCTAGTAAATTTTGCGAATAATATATCATCATCTAATTCTTTACACAATGAAAATTGCGGCCTCTTTGCCAAAAACGATCGCACCCAGATACGCCTATTACTTTTCTTTATTTTTTTAGTTTTTGATTAATAATAAAAAAAGCGCTACAAGCCGCCGCAGCAAGAACAATATCGTCCATAGCGAGCGAATACTGAAATGCTCGTGTAGGACAGTATTGCCTAGTTGATGAAGTTGCGCCATATCGCTCAATATTGTATTGCGCAGTATTGATGCTTGTTGCCGTTGCCGTAAATTGCTTGATGTAGTCGTGACGTCATAGTTGACGAGTATTGACTGGAATTGAGCTATTTTAGTTGCCCGTGTAAGCGCACCTTAAGACGTGTGTATAGGACAACGTCTGTCAGATCTGCGAGTGTATACATATATTTTTAAAAATTTCTATTTATTTACTTTCAGTGTCCAACGGCATATGTGTTATTTTAATGTTAAAATCATCATAAAATTATGATCAGTAAACTTATTTAAATTTTTATTATGGTGGTTATTATTACAAAGAATAATATTAAAATAGTACATAAAAACATCTATCGTTAGTTATGTAAATCATATTGTCAATTTCATCACCCTTTTGTTATCTAATATATAAAATTCCAAACTCCTCCGAAACAGCTCAACCGATTCTTATGAAATTTTTTATGCATATTCAGTAAGTCTGAGAATCGGTTACTATCTATCTTTCAAACCCCTAAGTGATGAGGGGTGTCCACACTAAAATAATAGTTTTTATTTTTTCGATATTTTTTTTTATGATACAGCATACAAAAATACATACAATCCTTAATTTTCACCCCTCTACGATCAACACCTATTTTTATTATTGTAGATTGTTATTTTTATTAAACAAAAAAAATGTTTCCTAGACATAATATACATGGCAAAACAAACGTTTGCCGGGTCAGCTTGTTTTTCTCTACAAATAGTGAGTCCTAACCCTACAACAAGGTGTTTACTTAAACGTTAAAATACCTGCAAAATATGTCAAGACTTTGCCCCCTCGCTTCAAAATACTCATTGATAGATGTATCGATCTTCGGAGCTTCTAACAAAGTTTTAAAATCAATCGATTTCTCGTCAAGTCCCATCGAATTAGTTGCTTTACAATTAAAAATATTGTCTTGGTCGTTCGTTGTTTCAAATATACTGACGAATGATGATACGTCGATTGATATTTTCTGTAATAATATTTACTTAAATTATATCACCGGGAGTCGAAGACTCGCAATGGAAACACTAAAATATTATGTTTAATATTTTTTGGAATATACAGACATGAGTAAAGTCTAAATACTTGTATTTGTTTAAGTTTTTAAACAATTTCTCTTTTTCTAAATTCGTTTTATGGAAATAACAATAATTTAAAATAAGAAAAAATTATTTTACAAAAAAAATGTATGACCTTTTATAATTTTTTTTTTCAAGTACGAGGACAGTTTAATAAAAAGTAATAAAGCTATAAATTCTCCTTGAAAAGAAAAAAATAATATCAGACATTAGATACAATAATAATACAAAAGCAATGAATTCTCTTCTGTTCTTAAAAAAAGAACTTACATGTTTGTTTCGGGAATGTCTTCTTAAAAATGGATAAAATTCGCGAGGTAATAAAATATTTGCAACATTTTTTGAAAGTCAATGGATGGTAATGATCGAATACCTTAATCCACTACTACGAGGACTTTAAAGCAATAACGAAGAGGCAAGCAACGGCGTTTAAAACTTACTAAACTAGTTCTAAAAAGACTTGAGGTCCATCTTCATCATCATCAATTGATGGAACCCACTCTATATTAATTAAACATTGAATTTTATCTTAAAACAACCTATAGACAAAGTTCATAAACATACCATGACCACGTCGCAAAATAAAATAACATTTAATATAACATAATTGCGTCCTACTCATTATCACTACATTGAACAGTATTTTTTGTTTTTTGAGCAGTGTTGGTGGAGTCCTAGTGGCTTTAGCCTGCAACTCTCATCCCTGAGGTCGTAGGTTTGATCCCCGGCTGTGCACTAATGGACTTTCTGTCTATGTGCGCATTTAACATTAGCTCGAACAGTGAAGGAAAACATCGTGAGGAAATCGACATGTCTTAGACCCAAAAAGTCGACGGCGTGTGTCAGGCACTGGGGGCTGATCACCTACTTGCCTATTAGATTTAAAATGATCATGAAACAGATTCAGAAATCTGAGGCCCAGACCAAAAGAGGTTGTAGCGCCACGATATTTTTTATTTTTTGGTTTTAGGCATACCGGGTCCTCACGATATTTTCCTTTGGCACGCATAGAATGAAAAATCCATTGCTTTCTGACACTACCTGAATCCTACTTTTCACTGCCATGATGACTGACAAATCATGGCAGAGTCGCGTGCCACACAAAATATCTTTTCGAACAAAATCATTAAACTTACATTGCCAATATAAAAGACGCCAGCAGCATCAGACAGAAGAATATCGGGTTCAGGAAAACCTTCAACATTACAGGCTATTTGAATTTTTGAGTTTTTCTCATCGTTTGTGATCTTCAATTCCTCTATTATTGGCTTAACTTCTTTTTCACTGCCAGCTCCTAGAATCCATTGAGGAAAACTGTTTTAAACCCTGACCAATAAAATTTCGAACTTTTCGATTGATTGATTTATTTCTTTAAGTTGATGTCATTGTCTAATTTTGTGGATATTGTGAGTTGTGACTATACTTAGTGTTGCTACTATCATCGTTAATTTAGTCGGGCTTAATAAATGACGCTGAAACTATTGAATGCGTGCGTATTCCACACGTATCACCTCGATGTCCGTCGTTCCACAACTGATCGTTTTTAAGGCAGTTTTTGACTCAGAAAACCACTATGTGGAACCAGCTACCCACTGAAGTATTTCCGATCCAATTCAACATAGGGTCCTTCATGAAAAGAGCATACCAATTTTACAAAACCCGGCAACGCGAGCCCTTTGGATTAGTGTTCATGGGCATTAGTATCACTTAACAACAGATGAGCCTCTTGCCCGTTTGTTTGCTTTATATTAAAAAAGAGATGTGTATAATAAATCACTCTCTTCTACTCATTATCACTTTAAATTACTCAATGCTTAAACGAACTTAATTTAAAACCAATTAAATATCTAATCAATGTTAACTAACAATTTTTTTTATATTTTAACTTATGTACCCGCACTAGTTTTTTTGTTCCAAGGCTCAACAGCTGTTATGGCATCTCTTCTGATGTTTTCTTTTGTTGATGTAACGATTCCATTTACCTTTAAAATCAAAGATAGTTATTAGACGCAACGATGCAAATTTCTTAAGATGAGAGCTTCAATTTGACACGGGTACTCCAGTACACTCGCGCATTCATGTTGCAATGTTGAACTTATCAGCAGATTCATTTTATACGTTATTTTAATACACTTTCTTGAAAAAAAATCGTTAATATTATAATAATGGTGAATTTATTTTTCAACACTTGTGGCAAATAACTTTGGTGCAAAAACGGAACACGGTGGAACGGCAACGTCTAAAGCGCTTTCTGAAGAGCTATTTATTTTAAATTAATGAATTGTTGAATACATGAATTTTATATATAAAGGGTATTATAAAATAATTCCTATTGAATATATAAATGCTTAAGAATATTTAAATTAAATAAAGAATATAATTTATCAAACTCAGTACTACAGAGTACAGATATATTATATAATAAAATAAATAATTAATACGTATTAATAAATTAATCTGATTTACCGGGGTTTAAATATATTTTTATCTATATAATTCATCAAAAATACACTTACAGCGATTCTAAACATGTGACTTGGTGAAATAAACTCGTCTGTCACATAAAAGTTGTCTCCCTTTTTAATTATGCGTAGCGGCTTTTTTTCTAATAAATTTCCTTTCAAGTCCAGTATTTCGGCCGATTGTAATTCCACATCATTTCCATTATAAGATAACTCTATATTTAGATGTGTTTTTTCACCTAAAAAAATATTATAATTCATTTAATAAATCTAAGGTATTGAACCCTAGACCTAGATTAAAGCATTTAATCGTTTAGGTAAAGCAGGTAATCCGGTGAAGATAATTTAAAAGATTTTATTCAAAACAAAATTCTAGTTAAAATTATTCTGACGCTAGTCCGCACACTATGTTGTGGGGGACTACGGCTCTTCCGTGGTTTTTGGCTAATAGCAAAAACTATAAGCAGCATTGAAGAATACATTTTTAAGAAAAGGAATACATGTAATTAAATAACCCAATAAAGCGCAGCATATAATACTACAGGATCGATGGAACGATGTATGATAGGAAGGAAATAACAGATAAGATAAAAAACATCATTATATAGAACCTTCTTCCTTAGTAAGTAGCAGATGTCAAAAATATATAAACGTAAGTGGAAATGGGCGGGCACGTAAGAAGAACAGAAAAGTGGAAAAAACGCAAAATAGGAAGACAGTTTAGTAGCTGGATAGAACAGATTGAGGAAACAGCACGTGGTACATGGCAGAGAGTGGCACAGTGCAGACAGAAACTGTGGCATTTGTTGGAAGCTTTTGAGAGAGTGGAATGATGTAACAAACCTGCTACGGGCCTAGGAACAGCCTTTTTGCAATCTTCAACAGTTGTCGGTGGTATTACTAAAAATCCATATTGAAATGATACGTCAGTAGATGCCTTAATATCTAGAGTTGATTCGCCGGTGCTTTCTATTACAGCTGTAAAATCACCGGGCACTGCTGGACTCATTTTAATTATCTAAAATTTTAATATACTAAAATCTTTTTGTAACCGGTTTAATTAAATAGGTTAACATTATCTGAAATAATAAGAGGTCTGCAAGTTATAGAGGTCCAGGTCAGATCTAAGAGGAGAGCCAACGGGAACTAAAGAAATAAAATCTTAATAAAAGCTAGACAACTTTTTATTCAACGGCCTGACCTCAAGTCTTGCTAGTCAAAGAAAATTTGTCCCTTTAGATGACGTGTGCGAGCTCTTCAACAGCCAATTCACTATATGCCGTTAAGATTTAATTCTGTGCGCCATTTGAGGAAACATTCTTAGCGAAAGCTGCTGTCAGTGACAGCCATTCCCTCTGAATCCAAACTTACTTTTTTTTTTGAAGTAATACTTTTTTTAGCGCGTTAGGGAAAAATTATGAGAGTAAATTTTTAACGATTCGCGCGCACACCGTCACAAAAAATCTGAATCTGAAGTTAGGTATTGTAATTTTAGTTTTTTCTAAAAACTTTTTGAAAAGATTTTTATCTTGTTACGCCAAAGAAGTATAACTTCTAACTCGTGTACATAAGTACACACACTTTTTTTTGTATTTAACCATTTATTTGTTTAATACGTATAGCACAAATTTGGTTTCCGTCGTTATCTGATAAATCTATTTTAATAGCTATTTAAAAAAAACATGATATTTAATAGCTGAAGTAATCCGTAAATACTAAATCACAGCTTATCTTTTCAGTCATTTCCGCAGATAGCATTCGTAACTAACCTTCAAATGTTCAAAGTAAAATTAATATCTATGATTCATTCATATAAATAACATACTATTCACAATACACATACTGTTATTGGTTCTTTACCGATATATTATATAAAGACAGATTTTTTATAGAACTGTCTCATGGACACTCAGAAGGCTCGCTGCGTGGTTGGTCTTATAAAACGTGAACGTGAACGTAAAAAGTGCGTTCTCGTCTTGAAGGTCCTAAGACAAATTGGTTCGTAAATACTTCTAATTAGATGACTTACTGTAATATATATTTAGTTATTTTTTACTATTTACACTAAATACATAAAAACAATGTTTAATAGGAAAAAATAGATTTAATTTGATATATATATTTGTATTTGTAATGTACTTAGTATCCTAGTAATAATAGCATTAACTTTTAATATTCCTGAAATAAAACGATTTTGCTTTCACGACTAAAGAAAGCCCCCCCCCAAAAGATATATTATTATGCGAAATATTTAATTGCTAATTACCATGAAACGAGTATTAAATGAATGTATTGTAAATGTTGAAGAGAGTGTCTGCGTCTGGCTGTACTCTCGGGGCGTAACGACGATTAGAGAATCGCCACGCTTATAAAACTAAGGAAGCCTGCTTGTACTGCTAGAACGAAATTAGTTTGACGAGAAAGAATGTGGCGCATTGGATAAATGCATAGTTCAATAATAATAAAACCGGATAAAACCGAAAAGGAAGTATACGTATATAAAAATAGCACTTTCCTTAAAGATTAGCACAGCCTGTTACAGAATCTTGAGTAACACTGGTGCAGATTCTGTGTTTTTAGTGTGCGACTCTCATATCTAAGGTCGTAGGTTCGATGCCAGGCGGTGCACTAATAAAATTTCTTTCGAACGGTGAAGGAGAATATCTTGAGCGGCTTGCTTAGAACTAACAAATCGACGGCGTGTGTCAGGCTGATCACATACTTACCTATTTGATTAATAAAAGGTAGTGGCGCCGCGCTATTGATTTCAATTACAGAATGCTAATTTAATTATATATACGGTTTAACTTACGTAAGTTTCCTTAGAATCCATAATAAGTTCTACTTTTACTTCATTTCCTTTCGAATCTTTCACAACAATATGAGCATCCTTACCCACAAGAGACAGTGTAAGAGACTGCACTTTGCTATCAACTGAAAACTAAAGAAATATTATATTAAAAACAAAATAACGTGAGTTGTTAGAACTTTGAAGTATTGATATCTTATACCGTGTAGGAAAATATCGTATATTTAGGACGCGTGCAAAGATAGATGAAGTCATGTACAGGCTGATCACCAATTTGTCCATAGCTAAGTTTATATAACACTTTTAACAGCCAATAAAGAATATAATTTGATTCATTATTCATTTTACGCAAAAAGCTTATTACACAAAGACCTGGTTTGATCCCTGGCGTAACAATTATTTCGGATTTATTACGCACGATCTACGTACCTTTAATTTATTAGTACATAATACATGTATAAATTTGTCTAATCCATAACCCATTAACGAGATCTAATAAATAAGACATAAATTAAATGGTTTTGTTAAATTTGTATTGTGGGGCTAGTGAGCCTACGGGACGCCCAAAAAGGGCTGACATTGCAGCCCATGGACAGACATTTTAGTGGGTGCGTTACCGGCCTTTGAGGGAGGAGTATACTCTTTCTTCTTCTCAGTTGAGCTGTATATTTTCTCCCAGAATAAGCGGGACAGTCGTATTGTTATTTACATTTAAAAAGTAGTGTTTTTACTTACAGGCATTTGTTTTGTTATTTTTTCATCATCACCAGCTGGAAAGTTTCGATTGTAAAGTTTTACTCTCTTATCTTTAATTGATTCAATTACAAAGTTCAATATCTGAAATCAAATTCATTTTCAATATTAAATCACATGGTTTAAGACTCACTCATAAAAAGTAAGTCAGACTTTTTAGAATATTATTGCTCAAGACGGATCAGTAGATCAAAATAATACGGCGAACATTGACTCTTCTGTGGATCAAATGTGTGTATTAATTATGAATGTAAGGAATATAAGAATATATAAGAAATATAAAAACAACAACTAACCTTAAATATAATAACTAAAATAATAATAATTAATTTATATAATTTTCAATGGATATAAATACATAGTTGAACAAGTTGTTTTGTTTTGTTGTTTGACAAAACTCCAATAGCGATACAGATAGCAATCCCGATTTCAAGGGCAGGTTGTTCAACCATTCGATTCCAAGGTTGCAATATCAGCGCTACGGATGTTGAGGGAAATACAACGTGCAAACAAAACGTCGGGTTTGGTATTTCTTTCGTTATTGGAAGTTACACCGGTGATTATCCTAGATGGAGCCATAAAGCCGGTTGGAAATATTTTTTGAAGGTTTTTTTTAAAGCTAACACATTACACTGACTCATTCACTCACATGCTCACTCACACACACTAACGCGTGTTACGCGTCACGTCATGTTTTTTGTTAAAACAAAATTGGAAGATGTTTTAAACAGTTAAAAACAACAAAATTGTAATTGATAAAAGCTGGGAACCTTGCCACGGGTATTTTCTACTTAAAAAGGTTTCCAAACCTCGCATTTTTTTTTAGTCAAAGAAATTTACTATCACTTCATTTGTTTTATTACAATCACCTTTTTAATACCATACCACCTTCTTACAGTAACAAATCAATATTATTTCTCTATTTATCTATTTCTGTTCCTGAATAAAAAAAAATATTTTTTAGAAAATTTTCATATACTTGATTTTGTTACTTGACAGTCCCACTTTAGGGCCACATACATATATCATTTAATATAAAAAATACTGAGTCTCTACTGGCCGAAATACTTCCTTGTTAGATTCTAATTAGTAAGGTATATACATACATTTTGTACTTCGTCCTTTGCGATATTGAACACCTGGCCTCCTGTGGCCTTAGCGAGTTTCTTGTATACATTGTAATTAGGACTATTCCTCTCATTACAATCTCCCGTCAGTAAGAATGTTACCTTTTGATTGTAAAAGAACGTCATTAGGAGGTAAGAAAAGTACTGGTGTCTAGGCAGAAAGAGAAAAAGAAGCTTAGCAGTAAATAGACTTATTTTTGTGTTTTGGTTATATTTATAGTAGGTTTATGCCATCCAAATGCTGTTTTGTGAAGTTGTATTCTTTCCAAATACATCTTTAATAACCTAATACTTAGTCTCCGGATTTTTTCTCTCTCTCTATGACTATAGCAAGCAAAACTATATTTATTTATTTACGCGTTCTAAAAATGTGTATGCCTAAACCCTACAAGAAAATAAGACATCACAAATTGAACACACATACACATTAGAACACGAGCAATCTATTAAGGTAAACTTAAACAAACAACGACAAATAAAAATAAATAAAACAATAATTAAAACTAATAACTATGAAAACTATGTTAAGCTTATGGATATTACTGACATCTTTCTGCTAAAAGGGTAAGTGATTTGATAAGTAGATTGTTCTTAAAGTGTGATCATTGAGAGAAGAGAGGGTTTGAATATGTATTAACAAGATGTATTACATAAACTATGGTAGTACCTGTATGAATTTCTTTAGGGCTTTTCTTTGAACCTCGTCATACAAAAGTATGTCTTTCGCAGTAGCATCAGTGAAAACATAAAACAGTGAGTATGGCCTGCTCTCATCAATCCCTAAGCTTATTCCTGTCAATGACATCTCAGGGCAATCATCGCCCCCATGAACAGAAATATCATTTAGTCTTGCTCTGAATACTTTTTCCTCTATTGTTTTTGTTCTTAGTTCAACATCTGTAGAATAATAAAAGTTTATTTATTGTGTTTAGCCTTAAATTATTTCCTGATGCACTAATATCTAATTATCCTATAAAATAAATAAATAAAAATAAAATAAAAATCATTTAATTCAGACCATTAAAAAATCCATATTTTGTTAGTAAAGTAATCCTTATAACTATCCTATGTGTTAATATTTTTTTTTTTTCATCCGTTCATCGATTTTTTTATGTCATAATCCCATCAAGCGTAAGGTCTGCCTCTGTATCGTTTGCCTGATGGGACTCTCCATGTTGTTACTGTTTTCGTCCACCTGTGATCTGTGAGGCGCGCTCCGCACCCGCCCACTTCCACTTCAGTTTTTTGGCGTGGCTTAGAGCATCAATTGCTTTCGTCTCTGATCTTATTTTTATGTGTCTTATCTTGTGTACATTTTTAATGTTTAGCATGCTCCTTCCAAGCCTCGTTAACATGTATTTATATTGTTTTTTGTTTTAGGCATGCATATGTCAGACAGAGTAATAAAAGTAATGAGTAATAAATGCGGACGAAAGCACTTGGGACATTCTTAACTCTGGCCGTGCAGGTATTTTTAGGCTAGTTGCCGTTCAGTACCGTGACAAACTTGTGTCAGAAGTTGAAACTCTAATACGTCTAGGATTGATTGGGGTTGGAGTTAAATCTAGTCCAATTCAAGACACAAAGACACAAGTTTGCACTTGTGGTGTGTTTGAACTTTTCTTCGGCTAAAAAAACACTCTTTGTTAGCGACATCTCTCTTTGATGACATGCTCCTTTAACCCTCGGCCAGCATCTCAATATTAAGCAGACGTATAAAATGATTTTTAGATTCGCGGTTATTTGAAAGGAAATGCTAATTAACCACTAATGAGCTTGGTGTGCTCAGTAACACGAGATGATACTTATTTTTTGGGCACCGCTTGCAACTTTATAAACTATAAATAGTACTGTTTTCACGTCAGGGCGGAAGCTCCCCAGTATCGAACCTTTCACTTGACCATATTCAACGAAGAGCGATTCGAGTCGTCGACGACCAGTCACTTTCCGGTTGGCGTGATCCCTTGACGCTGCTGAGAGATAAGGAGACTCTGCATCTTCTAACGCATTTACCTTGGATAGTGTTCAGTTTTTCCTCATCGGACGTCGAGGCAGAATATGAAATTCCACCCGTGTCCCCTCAATGTCCGACGTTCCACAACTAAGCGTTTTAAGGCAGTTTTTGCCGTGAAACACCACTATGTGGAACCAGCAGACTTAGGGTCCTTCAAGAAAAGAGCGTACCAATTCTTAAAAGACCGGCAATGCATTTGCGAGCCTACTGGCAGTGTAAGTGTTCATGGGCAGTATCACTTATCATCAGATAAGCCGTGAACGGGCAAGAGCCCGTTTGCCTGTTGCATGGAATAAAGAGTATTTATTAATCTTATTTGTTTTAATCACAAAGACTGACCTGGATCGTTGAAAGTGACCAAAACGAAGTCCTCAATTTCTGATGCCTTCGAATTCAGCACTGCATTAAAAACATCACTAGTTTTAATTTTAACTTGATTTATGTCATCAGACATGGAATAAGTATCATCAATCACAAATGTTAAGCTCCTTTTCAAATCATCACTCAACACATGGTGGAATAGGAATATTAACGTGAATTTTGCTACGTAATTTTTAATTACCATTTTGATGATTTCAGCTCAAAAGTGTCGATGAGACTGACTATCGTGTTCCGGTTGCGCCAGACTTAAAATAACATGAGTATTTTCTGCACTTATTATTGAATGTGCTTTATCAGTGGATGAAATTCCGTTTCCACCGGTATCTTTGTTGGGCGTATTCTCTGAGGATTTTCCTTATACAAATATATTTTTTTTAATAGAAAAGGGGCAGGAGGCTCATCTGATGTTAAGTGATACCGCCGACCATGGACACTCTCAAAGCCAGAGGGCTCGCAAGTGCGTTGCCAGCCTTTTAAGAATTGGTACGCTCTTTTCTTGAAGGACCCTAAGTCGAATTGGTTCGGAAATACTTCAGTGGGCAGCTGCTTCCATATAGCGGTGTTGCGCGGCAAAACTTGCCTTGAATCAGTCGTGGAACGGCGGACGTCGAGGTGGAATTTTATGCTCTGCCTCGAAGTCCGATGATGAAACTTAGTTGCAGGTATTAATCCGAACAACTCCTCTGAACACTCTCCATGGTAAATGCGGTAGAAGATGCAGAGTGACCCTACATCTCTACGCAACGCCAAAGGATCAAGCTGCTCGGGAGGATTGGTCGTCGACGATTCAAACCGCTCTTAGTTCAATACGGTCAAGTGGAGTGGAGCCGAATTTGCGCTTTATACCGTTGGAAGAATTGGCCCGGAGTGAAGTACCGTCTTGCCTTGCTGAGCACACCAAGCTTTTTGGAGGCTAATTTAGCCTTTCCCTACAAATGGCCGCGAAACTGAACGTCGTTCGATATGTCAACGCCAAATATTCCGATACTGGCTGTGATTTTAAGAAGAGTGTCTTCGAAGAGAGGAGTACCGACAAAGGGTGGTTTTTTGCGGAAAACGCGCAAACTTGTTCTTGCAATGAATGTTGCTAAGTTGCAACATATCATTGATATACAGAAGAAATAGGGTCGGGGATAGAACACAGCCTTGTGTTTTTAAGGGATAAAGTCGGGCGTGCTCCATCGATGACGACCTTGATGCTCCAATTGGGCAGAAAGCTGGAGATCCAATCGCATAATTTCTCGGGAAACCCGTTGGCTGGAAGCTTCGAGAGCAGTGCCACACCCGATCGAAGGCTTTCGCAATGTCCAAACTAACCGCTTGTGCCTCCCCCTTGGACTTAATTGCCTCTGTCCATCTATCTGTAAGGGATACAAGAAGGTCACCAGCCGAACGACCACGACGAAAGTCGTACTGATAATCGCTAATCAGCTGGTGGCCCTCTCAAGAGCTGGCCATTAATAATGGATTCCATTATTTTCGAGAACATGGAGGTTATAGCTATCGGGCGATAGTTGGACGGATCAGAGCGATCGCGTCTAATAGCAGTACCAAAGTATTTCTGGAAGGTACGTGGATTTGTTACTTCCTATTCTGTAAAATTAAAGTAATATTTAACAGTATAAAAGTGGTAAAATATACAAATAAAAATTCACAAATGGGCTTGTGAATATACTTTTAACACGAAAAGTTTAACCATTTATATAATTATGTTTATATGAGGTAAGAAAAACTGCTTTCATTTTAGAAGCGGATCTAGGAGGAGTTTTTCAATAATTTTTAATAAAAATTAAAACTGGAATCCTACGATCAATGCTAAGTTTAGTAATTTTCAAGAAATAATATTTGGAAGGAAAGTACATTGGTGTACAGCCGGGGATCGAACTTACGACCTCAGGGATGAGAGTCGCACGCTGAAGCCTCTAGGCCAACACTGCCCTCACACCCAAGCACAATAATACATTTAAAACATTACCAATTTATAAAACCAATAGATATATATCTCAAGTTTATCTACGATCGGAGACATTTTGGCATGTCACCTAGACAAGGAGACGTGCCAAAAATGAAGAAACAATTTGTATTCACAATAGAACGTGATAATCTATCAATTGTAATGACGATCTATGAAGGCTGACCTATGCCCCGAGATTTTGGTAACTTACAAAGACGAAATCGTAATTGCGTAATGTTTGACACGACTGGAAAATAATTATAATGATCACTAATTGTGCATGTGAAATCTTGTATCCCCGTGACTTTGAAATTATTTTGTTAAAGCTATTTATTTTTCATGTATGTAAATTGTATACTTGGAGCAGTGTTGGGCTAGTGGCTTCAGCGTGCGCCACTCATCCCTGAGGTCGTAGTGATCCCCGGCCACCAGGACTTTCTTTCTATGTGCGCATTTAACATTCGCTCGAACGGTGAAGGAAACCAGCTTGCCTTAGACCCAAAAAGTCAACGGCTTGTGCCAGGCACAGGACGTAAATCACTTGCCTATTAGATTGACAAATGTTCATGAAACAGATACAGATAAATCTGCAGCCCAGACCTAAGAAGGTTGTAGTGCCACTGATTTAAATATAACTTGTATCCATATTATACGGATGTAATAAGATGACGCATCTTATGTCAACGCATGTAAGACTAGAAATACTATTGTAAGCGATCGGAACGTACGCTTTCATCTTTTATTTTTCATTCTTACAAAGTATTAAAGGTCTCAAATATTTGTAAGACTAATTATGCATCTTGTTTTATACTTAGATAAACAACGTCTTTTCAACTCTATGCTGAAACAGAAAATTCTTATTGTGCATCAATAGCTTAATTATAAAATGTAAGAATGTGTTATGTAGAAATGATACTCAAGTACCGTCAACATGTTTAAAGGAAGAGACTGACTGACACAGGGAATCCTAGTGCGGGGGCTAATGAACTTTCTTTTTACCTAAATATCCTTTTGTATTGTGTATAGTAAAGTTTTAGGCTTCTTTAATCTTTCTTTTCTACAGTTAAATATACTTTTATTAATTGAGAAACTCAATTGAAACAAATTTGTTTTATTTACTTGTATCATCACGCTGCCGATCAAATTTACGCAATACATAGTATGTATTTTATAATATTTTACGCGGACGTATTTCACGTTTGCATATAATACTTTATAAGTTTTACTATTAGATGTTTTATCCTACATATACTTAAATATGTATTTAAGTACTCTAGATATTTTGATAATGACTCAATGAGTTCCTTTTTAACAAAAAATAGAAAGGACTCCAAAATGTGAACACAATATTGTATTACTTATCGTCTATTAAGATGTGTTTTATAAACAATGCTAAGAAAAATTGAGCAGGCGTTTATATTTAATAAGTCAGGCAAAAGTATTTTTTTTAACTGGCAGGTTTTTTTTTGCTTTGTCATTGAGCTTTTCCTAATCTGTCTTTTTAAATGCTTACCTATACTTACTATACACATTGTAAATACATATTGTACACATTTGTTCAAATTTAAAAGTTATCTTAGAATAAATGAAGAATTTTAAAACAATACACGTTAAGACACTTCTGACATAATTAACATCTGACATTAATAACGAGATTTTTAAATTTTTAAATTTTATATAGTTTTTTGGTGTTTCTTCAGAAGTTGTTTTAAATTATAATATTCTTTCATTAATATTAATTAATAATTATTATTCTTGTATAAATATTTTATTGTTAGATCATAGTGTTGTTATAATAAAACGATAAAATTGTATATTATGAAAAAAATGAGTTTTTCATTAATATAATTCCAAACTCAATCATTTTGAAAATGAAATATTATATTATAATAAATGAAAATATTTTATATAAAAAAAACTATACCTTATGTATTACGAAACGAATTATATTGATTAATTTATTGTACCTTTTATGTCTCGTCAATTAAATATTCATAACTTTTATGTCACAAAATCTTGCAGCTATCATAAAAATATAATATTGTAATAGCTTTGACATTATATTATGTAACATTAGTTATATAATAATAAAGGTTCTTTATCGATATAGCGAAAGTTAGTAACTATTCATAAATTTGTATATAATAATATGTATAAACTAGTAAAGTTCAATTTAATACATATAGACTTCCTCATGATATTACTACAACGAAAGGTCTAGTGTTAATAACAATAAAAACTCTTGACTATCAGAGTAACACTGCCGAGTTTCTGTATTTTTAGTTGGTGTCTATTAATAGGGCTATAATCTCATTTTCTTAATTGTTATATAATTAACGTCCTACCTTGCCATTATGAGCATTGTTGGCCTAGTAGCGTGCGGCTCGCATCCCTGAGATCGTAGGTTCGATCCCCGACTGTACTTCAATGAACTTTTGTATGTGTTATCACTCGCTTGTGCGGTAATGGAACAAATTGTGGGGAAATCGTGTATCACAGAATGGTGATTGAAGACACAAAAACTACAAACAAATAATCATGAAATATATGTAGAAATCTCAGGTCAAGAATTTTTAATTTTTCTTAATACCGTTTGAATTTTTTTTATTATATATTAAACTGTCGATATATATGCTCATCACTTTAATCTATTAAATCAAAACGGATGCGGTCAGCGTCCTTCACATATACCCTTTGCAAGTGTGAACTTTGAGAGGTCTCAAGGCGTGGTGTACATACATAAACTCCCACGCTATTTAATAATATAGTACACAAAACTAAAATTTGTATATTGCATGTATATATCATGTATATTGATTGTAATAATGACCTTAGTTGAAAGTCATCTGGTACTAAAATATGCGAGCAAGTTGCAAGTTGAACACGTCATAATAACATCTAGCTTAGAGCGTTCTGCTTGTGAAAAAAGGCAGGTTTGCACTTCTAAACAAAAGAGAGGATCAGTTGAACTGACTGGGTAGCAGTAGGTTCCATGAGGTTTTTTTTAAAGGATTCTCGCTGATGGCCTGAAGGCTCTTGACTCAGCTCGGGCTCTCTTGGCGAGTTCGAGAATATTCGGTCTTCTATGACTAGCACAAGAGTGCTTTCTTTGAGACTTGTATCTCGGTTTAGGCTTTCGTAGCTTAAGTCGTTTATTTGACTAACTCAATTAGTCAGTCAAAAAACCAAAGCAAAAAAAGTAAACGGCACAATTTATGGAAACAAGTTAC